GACCTGCCACTGGTTGGTTCTGACATGCCATCTGCCACTATTAAAAAGATCTGTCACATGATATAACCATTGAGACACCCTATATAGCAGTTAAGAAATCCTGACTGTTAGCGTAGAGACTAATGTTAGAGGCTGATAAATACAGTGAGACTAATAAATATGTGATATTGGGCTTCTAAGCTATCTGGCTTCTTACTGCATCAGCCAGTTCGGGAAATATCCATCCCAATGCAGTTATAGTTTTTCAAAAGTTACTTCCCACCTTGAAGATACATCAATTTTTTTATTTTTGTGCAGTAATTTTCAATCAAGTCGAATTTGTTGTACTCAAATTGTCCACAGATCACACATATTGTTCCTCGTGTGACTTTGTTCATCTAATTGGGATCCCTTTCTCTTTCACCTTCGAACTGAGAGACAGCAGATTTTTATCATTAACTGATATTCTTTAATATGCCTATAATCTTTTTGGTGATTTGGTGATGTACCAAATGTATTTGCCAGCCATTTTCAGGCATGTTCATTGAACAAAGCATTTTAGCAAAATTAAAGTTGCTAGTACTGCTCGTGTCATGTTGCTTGTAAGGTTGCTTGTCATGTTGCTTGTGTTCATGATGATCAAATATAGATTAAGACTACTGTTAATTAACTAGACTAAGTTGGTTAAGTGTTCTAGCAAATGCTAAAATTTTTCATGACAAAGTTTTGTATACAATGGAAAAAGGTGAAAGATCAAGTGGTAGGTCCATTCACTCTACCTGCCACTTTACCTGCCACAGGTCACCTGCATACATATTTGTTTATTTTTTGCCGAAGTGCATTTGAATAGGTCAAGTGTGTGTATTGGTGTGCCACTTGTCAATGGATTGAACAGGTCAAGTGGCAAGTTGAGTAAATATACCTGCCACTTGACCTGCCATAGTACTTTGTGTACGTTTACATTCTTTACATTTTTACAGTCTTTACATTTACACCTTTGTATTTTTGCAGTCTTTACTTCCTTTACAGTTTTGCAGGCCAAATAAAAAGTTCAGTGGCAGGCCTTTCCCATACAGGCATGTCCATGTCCACGATATGACTTTTTTCAGTGCAACTTTTACTGTAACTCCCTATCACCACTTTGCTGTAAGCATGTGTACATGTTGTTCATCTTTGGATATACCACTGGATAAACCTGCCACTTGACCGCTATTAAATGGACCCGCCACTTGACCTGCCATTGGATGGACCTGCCACTGGATGGACCTACCATTTGACCTGCCATTGGTTAGACCTGCCATTTGACCTGCCATTGGTTAGACCTGCCACTAGATGGACCTGCCACTTGACCTATGAAGTCAGAAGCAGCTCAAGTAGTACATAATTAGTAGAAATTAATACACATTCTTTACATTTTTACTGTCATTACAATTACATCTTTACATTTTTACAGTTTTGCATTTACACATTTTGCATTTTTGCAGTGTTCACATAGCATCCTATATATTTTTGCAGGATGCCTTTGTCAAACATTTGCTCTTTAATTGAGGCACTGCAGCAGATTTCCTCGGTTCTTGTGTTCCTGTAGGAGGTTTCCTGTAATGACACCATCAGGATGTTGAGCTGAATGTCTGAAATGGAAGAACGGTTCCGCTGCATTGTTCTAGCCTTGTAGCCTTAAGACAGGCTGGAGACTCTACTCAGTGCTTGCGCTGCTAGTATCGTCATCTGGTACCGTAAAGACAAGGTCAGATTATCTTTTATTACATGCTAAGATGCTAGTTTTCTTAATGCTAAACTGACATCTTGACCACTTTTGATTTTATTTGAAATTTGGGAAAACTACAACTGTAAAACCACCTCAGCCCAGACCTCAACCTTCTGTAAATAATCATGCAAGTTCTCATGTGCCGATTCAGGATAATAGACCTCGCGTTGAACTTTCTTATCAGTTCAGTGTCTAATAAAGAGTCAGAACGGAAAGGGAACACTGTGTATAAATCAAACATTATCTTGTTATTATGCATCCATAAAGCTAGGAGTGCCTCAAATAGTACAAAATTAGCAGCTATTAATAACAACTAATGAGAAGTGAGCACATTTTACTGATACACAGTGGAATCACATGGCTGTCAGAGTGCAACGGTCAAATGTCTTAGTTTATCAATCAGTGCTTGAATGACGTAGAATCATAAAGGCAAAATATTTACCACCTACACCCAGATCTCTCTTCTTCTTACAACTAGCCTGGGAATCAGTCTCTTTTCCTCTCTTTGAGAAACTGCTGTTGTTCATAATGTCTTTTTTAACACGTTGTGGAACTTAAGTCAGGTGGTTGGTCATATGTAGTTGACCTTATAGGAATGACATTACCATTAAGAATACCTTCCTGTATTAAGAGTAAATCTACTGCTTTAGATCATATTAGTTATATATATTTTTTTTCATTTCATATTTCTGTCAATATTTATCAAACCAGCCTCTTTTGTTATGAATTTGATCGAAAACAGTTTGCCATTTATTTTTTTTTACTGTTGACACTGTGACGGCTCTTAGTTACTAACAAACCAAAAACAAAAATGTACCAAAAACAGTATAATTTTTCATTTTTACCTGACTATTTTCAAACCCCTATTTAGTTCCTAAAACTTAAACAGGCTCTTTCAGGTTTGTCCTGTGGTAGGTCAAATGGCAGATCAAGTGGCAGGTTTGTCCAGTGGAAGGTCATGTGGAAGGTACGTCCTGTGGCAGGCCAAGTGGCAGGTTTTTCCAGTTGCATGTTCCAGTGGCAGGCAAAATGGCAGGTCAACTGTCAGATCTTTCCAGTGGCAGGCCAAGTGGCAGTTCAAATGGCAGGCCTTTCCAGTAGCAGGTCAAATGCCAGGTTTGTCAGGTGGCACATTTTTTCAGCGGCATGCCAAGTGACACGCTGTTATAGTCTAGTTTCAATATGCAAATAAGCCCCTTTCTGATTGGTTGCCCTGTACTGTTCCTTGTTCATAACACAGTCCAGACTGAAACACTCATTATAACTAAAGCATTACTGGGCAGGGCTAAACTGCTGTAGGCTATATAGGTGAATGAGAAAGGCCATTTAGAAATTTGGAATCACTTGTCGTCAATAATCTTTGCAATTTTATACATAATAATAATGTGTAGATTCAAAGATTACAAACTACATACTAAATGGCATTTTGGATATTTCTTTCAGTGTTTGAAGTTGAGAACAGAAAAAATATATGATACATAATATACTGTATTTATTTATTTGTTTGTTTGTTTATTTATTTATTTATTTATGGTGTCAGGTTTTTGGCCTCTGGATCACCACTTAATTACAAGTTGTTATACATCTTCTTTGGTCATCTTAAAATCATACCTACTGAGTACTGTGCAAAAGTCAGAGACCACCTATCATTTATTTAACTCCCAGTCAAAAGGGGTAATAAAATAGAGTTATTCATTTTTCTGGGGAGATTAGATATAAGATAAGCTGCTTGCATTAGGCAATAAAAAGTCAAAGAAAAATGTGAAAAAACAGGAGTTTCCAAAACTGGGGTTCAAAAAGTGATTAAAAGCTACAGAGAAAACCTCCAAACAACCACCTGGAAGAGCTGGTAGACCCCAAAACTGCCCCCATCTGATAAACAGCGCTTAAAGCTTTCATCTCTGAGAGAGAGGAGAAATTTAAGCTGCTTCAGATCTGAAAACATCCACAGGTGTTTCTGTCCATCCTTCCACTGTGAGAAGACGACTCAGCGCTGTGGGTCTGAAAGGATGTGTAGCTGTTCAAGAAGAGCCTCTCTGAGAAAAGGAGACGGACACATCAAACAAAGAAGCTGAACGATGGACTGACCACCCCAGAGTCCAGACCTCAACACCACTGAATGTGTTTGATTACTTCAGAAAATGATCAACCAGCTTCTAAGACTGAACTTTGGAGGTGTGGCTGCAGATTCTTTAAGAAACTGAAAGTAAGTCTCCTGAAAAGAATGGAAGCTGTAATAAAGGGAAAAAGTGGACACAGTAAAAACTGAAAATAGTATTTTTAATAGTTTTTTCTGTTATTTTGTTCTGTTAAATATGTTTTCTGTTTTTTTCTTAACGCTGCTAAAATAAAGAAGTTGCACTTAGTGGATGTTCTGACTGTGAAGGGTGACCACAGTATATACTGTACAGCTCTCTTCCGTTCTGTTCTGTTGATGGAGGCAATGTTACAGCGACGTGAAAAAGTATTTGCCCCCTTCTTCTATTTTGTCGAGCTTAATTGTTTCAGGTCTTCAAGCAAAATGCAACAAAGAACAAAGACAACCTGAGTGAACACAAAATATAGCTTTTTAAATGATTATTTCATTTGATGAAGGAAAAAAAAAAACGTATTCAACACCAACAGGCCCTGCGTGAAAAAGTAATTGCCCCCTTGGTAGTTCAAATCAACCAAATTTACTTGATAATTGGGATCAATAACAATAGAAGTACACAGGCTTGATCACTGTCAGCCCTGTTGTACGTAAACATCACTTGAATAGACCCTTTCCAGCAGTGGGAAGTAGGTCTAAAAGGTCAACAAGCGGCACACTACATTAAATTCCATCTAAACTAGATGTTTCGTAAAAATAAATGTAATATAAAACAATGTCCTTGACATAGTGGCAACTTTTTTACCCTTCAAAAAATGAAAAGATCATTTAAAAACTGTGTTCTCACACTCTCCTCGTCTTATATTCCATTTTGTATGAGGATCTGAGGCCATTAAGTGCGACAGATATACGAAAATAGAAGGGTACAAATACTTTTTCACAGCACTAAATACGGAAAATTATGACATTATTTCAACATTGCATTGATTTACATCAAGTGGCTTTAATCAGTAAATCAATCATATTGTTACATCATGGTAATATTCAGATTTATGGTCTTTACGATGAGCCATTAACTCACAGCGTGGGAGTCACTCGGCGTATCTCAGATACGCCTGTAGTAAATGTTCATTATCTCTCTGGGCTGCGTATAAAAGCAAAGCTGAGTGAGATGAAGGCTCACAGACTGGACGTAGGGCTGGAGAGGTGTGCTGAGGTTCTCGCTGGACTGGATTACAATGCTGAGGTCGCTGTTGACTGCGTTGGTGCTTTTGGCTCTGCAGACCCAGGACAGGTAAAACATTTACCATCATCATAGCCACTGGTAGTTTTTGGAACCACGATTGACCCCAAACAAACGCAGTTCTACCAAATGTTGGATGACGTAGTGGTAATGAATTCCACCAATTAAAAAAAAATGCTGCATTAAGATGTAAACAAAGTCATTCAGAGTGGTTTGGTTCACTGCCTGGTGTCTGAGATACTGTCTTATGATAGTTTGAGTGATATATATATATATATATATATATATATATGTGTGTATGTTCTTTCATGACCTGTTTACCTGCTGTTGCTTAGTCTCAACCCAGCTGATGCTGTAATGTAGAAAAATGGTTGAAATATATTATTATGGTATCTTAGCTAGCCGTGAGTCAAGGGTGTAAAATTGGAGTAAACAGTAATACGCTGAGGCCTCGGAGTGATTGCCCCCTCTGTACTGCTACAAGTGACGCCACTAGTTACATAACCACAATTACCTCTGCCAACAACACATTACTGTGAAAAGCAGGTGAAAAACAGAGAGGGTTCACTGAGCGTCTGAGGAAATTTCCAAAAGAACATCAACACTAACTGGTTTTAGTATTAAAATAGTACCAACATAAAAAATATCCACAAATCTTCACTTTTTGTTACAATGACATTTTAAAATATACAGTCATACCTGAGCCATAGACTAATTTTACTGCACTGTAAAAGGCTGGTCTGATAGCACTAGAGAAGCATTGATAACGTGCAGTTATTACACAGTTATTGCTTTAGTAGAACAGTATAAAGTTGATCTGATGTTCTTTAAGGTTCTTCTGTCTCAGCACATTTTAACTGCCAGGTATTAATTGCTTTATGCTCTATGTTACAGAGCTGTTGAAGGACTGGAGCTACGAGCTTATGACTACACCACGTACCACACCATGGAAGAGGTTATTTATTCATTAATTCATTTATGTATTTATTTATTTACACGCTAAAAGAACTCACCACACCATGGAGGAGGTTGTTTGTTTATTTATTTATTTACTTATTTTACTCACTAAGTAATGGAGGAAATTATTTTACCCATTTATTTATTCACTCGTTTGTGAACTTCTCACAACATGGACAGATATTTTTATTTATTGACTTATTTATTTACTTGCTTATGTACTCATCACACTGTGGAGTCAGGATTAATTATTTGTTTATTTACTAAAGAGCTCATCACACCATGGACTAGGGGGGTGTTCACAAAACAGGGTTTCTCAGTTTAGTCAGAGAACTTAAGCCCAAAGTCAGGCCTGTCCAACAGGAAAAGAGCTGAGGGACGTTTCTATTGGACAGTCTTCATCTCTGGGCTTAAGTTATCTGGCTAACTGAGAAATCCAGCTTCGTGAACGACCCTCCAGGTTATTTATTCGGTTATTTATTTATGTATTTACTTATAAACTCACCACACCATGGCCTTACTTACTTACTTGCTTACTTACCTACTTACTTACTTATTTACTTACTTATCTATTTACTTACGTATTTACTTCTTTATTTATTTACTTGCTTACTTATTTACTTATTTAGCTATTTATTTACTTACTTATTTAGCTATTTATTTACTTACTTTCTTATTGATTTATTTACTTATGTATTTACTTACTTATTTATATACATATTTACATATTTACTAATTTACTAAAGAACTAACTATGGATATTATTTAAGCATTTACTTATACACTCATTTATGAACTTACCTAACATGGACAGGGCCATTTATTTGTTTATTAATTTACTCATTTACTAAAAAACTTACTACACCATTTGATAATTTTATTTATTTATTTATTTATTTAGCTAGTTAGTTAAAACTTACAATACTATTAACAAGGGGGTTATTCTCACAAACATTTCTCAGATAGGCCCAAAGTCAAGCCTGTCCAATAGGAAAAGAGCTGAGGGACATTCCTATTGGACAATTTTCATATTTGGGCTCAGGTTATCTGGCTAATTGAGAAATCCTTTGTGAAATACCATCCAGGTCAGTTACTGAGTTACTCATTTCAGCACTGACCCCTCCCTCTGTGAGGTTATTTATGCAGGTAATAATTTACATACTGCCCTATGATGTTTAATGTGAATGTATTTTGTTGTCCTACTGCAGATCTCAGTCTGGATGGAGCAGATTGAGAAAGACCACCCGGACGTTGTCTCCAGTATGATCTATGGGACGACGTACGAAAAGAGGAACATAACTCTGCTGAAGGTACCAACTCCTTTTCAGCGGAGCATCATGAAAGGCCAGCATTCAGTTTCTGTGCCGAAAGTCAATGAGCTCCACAGAATGTTGCTAGTTAGAGTGACAATAAGCAGACGCGCCATTTCAGACCCAGACGCTGTTTTGAGCTGCTGGTAGACTAAACAGTCTGTTCCTCGGCTGTTTATAAACCGTGCCTGTTGGTTCTCTGTGCTGCAGATCGGCCTAAGCAGCACTTTGCCGAAGAAGGCGATCTGGATGGACTGTGGAATCCATGCCAGAGAATGGATCGCTCCTGCTTTCTGCCAGTACTTTGTGAAGGAGGTGGGTACAGATGCAGTTTAACCAGCCAAAACACACAACACTTCTATCTACAAAACTACTATTATTCTTAAAAATGTAGCTGATAACATACTTTTGTCCACTTTCCTTGCTGAAAAATTTGCTTAGGCCAGCATGATCTCTGGTTTAAGCTGGTTTTTGTGGGTCTGGTGCTGGTTTAGATGGTCACCCAGCATGGACACGCTGGTTGACCAGCATACCATCATCCAAAACTCAACATATCACTGCTGTCGGAACAAAACCTTGTATCTCCACTTTACAGGAGAAGAAAAAAAACCTACCTTACTTGTAATGTAACTCAATGGAACCAGACGTCTTTCCAAGCAATTTTCAGACATTTCTTTTGGTCTAATGATCATGAGATTCACAGACAACGTAAAGGTCAACAGGCATTTTCAAATTATGTCAAAAACTGAAAAACGGCAAACATGGAGATACGAGGTTTTGTTCCGACAGCAGCAATATGCTGTTTTTATAGCAGGATTATTGGTGAATGTATGTCATACCTTTGTCAGAAACCACATTAGTACATATATTTGGGATTATTGAAGAAATCCCCATGGTTAGAGGCGAGTATGTGATGATGTAGGCATGCTAAACGCTAATTATTGTGAACGAAGCTTCCGTTGCTAGCTAGAGTAGCTGCATAACTCCAGGAGCAAACTTCACATTATACTACATACTGTAATTACATTCATTTACAGTCATTTTTTGTCAGGTTAACCAACTCGAGATTTGATCTCCACTTTTGAAATATGAGGCGTTTTGGATATGAATTGTATTTGATTTTCATTCTTAATGTTATTCCTAAATTTCTTCATTTTTATGTACAGCTTCCTAGTAATCAGATTATAAAGCTGTGAAATTATTGCTGACATATTAGAATCACCTTATACATTTATAAAGTTATAACACTTACATTTTGGACCTCTAGAGCCCTTTATTTTCGGATATTTGTACTTTCTAGGCTGGTACTTTCTATGAATTTGATGGAGCAGCATTAACCAAAATCTCATTAAGCTCGATAGCAAAGCAATTGATAACGTCCAGTTTAAAGGTCAGAACCTCTAAAAGACGATGGATTTTCTACTGAAACAGATCCTGGGCTCGTACAAAACAGACCCAAAGATGAACGAGCTGTTTAAAAACCTGGACTTCTACATCACTCCAGTCCTGAACATGGATGGATACATCTACTCCTGGAGAGACAACACAGTGAGTTTAATCGTGCTCGTTTATGTGTGTTAAATGTGAGATTTAGCCTGAAATGATCCATTAAAAGTCTGGGTCGGATTTGTTGGGACCACGTCATTAGTCTTTACGTGTTAAGGTTACATGCACAGGCCCAAAATGAAGGTTCAACTTGATGTTTAGGTCTCGAATCATCCCAAAATCAACGTCATATTGATGACGATAGTAGAGCGTTCACTCTGTCCTTCACTAAGTTTTGAATGAGATCTCTTTGAATACTTTCAATGTGCCCACAATTATCAGATTCACCCAGTTGGAAAATGTTATTCTGCATGTTGAGTGCAATTACACATTTTCACCAGAGAGGTCTCCAAATCCCCAAAACTTACACAGTGCAGCTTCAAGAAGTAGCAGTTGCTCAAGGACTAGCTCTGTTGTAATAGGTCTTTTGTTCTCTGTCATTGTTTAAAAGCCTGTGCTGTTGCCAGTATAAAGTCCTGATTAGAGCTATAGTGAGCATATTAATTGCAAATGATATAATTACAAAATGATTTGTAGCCAATGTGTTATATACTTACAGACACGCCTGTGGAGGAAATCCAGGTCACCAGGCACTGACGGCTGCACCTGTTTTGGCACAGATCTGAACCGCAACTTCTATGCTAACTGGGGAAGTAAGTCTTACATTAGTTATCACTCAGTTCTGAAGGAATTCTCCAGCATTTTTACCAGTTTGACCCATTTCTCTTTACTTAGAAAACTGTTGAAACTAAACTCACTTATAACAGAAGCCAATGGTCAGTCACACAAATAAATTTGTGAAATGCATGATTATGTTCTAACTCCAAAACACAAGCATAACAGTAAATGTGTTACAGACTGAGAGAATATCTTACTAAAGCTGTACTTACCAATTCGAATCTGGTGAAAAAAGCTATTCCGGTTACTTTCACTTCACTTTCAATTCTGTTTTTGGTGTCATGGCTTAGTGGAATTTCTGGGCCTTCACTGATTTAAAAAAAAATGAAAAAAATGCAGGGTGTTTTCAAAAACTTTAAAGAAAAAAATGAAGGGTGTTTTCAAAAACTCTGAGTTCTGAATTAATGGATGAATGAATGCTCTGAATTATGAGACTGTTAAGCAGCCAAAAGACGAATATTGGACATCGCATTAAATTACGTCTACCATTAGACTTTAACATTATTATACAGCAACACCAGCTACTCAAACTACACACCTGCTAAAGTACCACATTTTACGAAGCTTGGTGATTTGTGTGCATTTTCTTTTTGTTTTGTACTCAAATCACTAGTGTACATTTAGAAATATTCATATTTCTAAATCTGATGAAAGGAAAAAAAATGTCCTCACCAGATAACCTACCAGCTTTCGGGCATTTTTCTTTACAACAGAAGTAGTTTTCGAGAGATCTGCTCATTTTTCCCATAGAGATAAATGGCTTAGATCTGAACGTCCTTATATGGGCATGTCACCAACCACAGAGGTCTATACCCAAAAATGTTTCCCTCTGGAAAACGAGTCCCATCTCTGAAAGAACCAATAGATTTGACAGAATTCATGAAAGAGTGAATACATGATTACTGACTAAACTGAGCTGCCTCCCTTTGGCTCTATTGTAAGTGTGCTTCAGTTCAGTGGGATTTCTGATTTTTTTTTCTACACTGTAAAAGTATTTTCACTGTCAGAGTACCGTAAAATTATAATCAATACCCATTAAAAAAATGTTAGATGATGTAAACAAACCATACATATACTGTATTTTAACACTAGTGTTGTTAATTCACAGAAATATAATGTTAATTTACAAAAACAAATGTTTTTAATGGATATTTTAATGGTTGTTACTGTTATTATGATGGTAAAATACTGTATGTCACCAGCTGAACTAGTGACGCTGTTGAATTCCATTAAAAGGCAGTATTTCTGACTGTAGTGCAGATTTACAGATTTTACGATCTTTGAGAAAACATACTTTTACTGTTAATTAACGAGTCTGGCTCTCCTGCTGCCAGACTTTTAACCATTTTTTTTACAGGGTATGAAACAAAGACATGTATTGAAATTAGATTCAGAATCATTGGATTATTGAAAATGCTGGAATATTCCTTTAATATGATTGCGAACACAACTTAATGAATACATTTCAAACAAGTTGTGTTGTTGTATTTTGATAAGTCACAGAAGTTACACATGTATTCTCCCTAAACCATGCCCACTTTCATTTCCACTCCTGCTTTATCTGCACAGTGGTGGGAATCTCCAGGAACTGTTGTTCGGAGGTCTATAATGGACAGTCTCCTCTTTCTGAGTCCGAAGCCGTTGCGGTCACTGACTTTCTGAGCGCCAATCGAGACCAACTCTTGTGTTTCCTCACCATCCACTCTTATGGACAGCTGCTCCTGGTCCCTTACGGACACCCAAACATCTCAGCACCCAACTACGATGAACTGGTGAGCAACTGTTACACACAGACCCCAGTTCAGTTCCTCACTCTCAAAGCTACATAGCTTACATTTAGTTTCATAGTAGTTACTAAATAAGTCATAGTATTTACTGACCAATAGGTCTCAGAGGACTGAATTATGTGTGGTTGCTTAATCAATCTCTGTTTTTATAGACACTTTTGTGCAACTTGTTAGCGCTAAAAAAAGAACGTTTGCATATGCGTCTGTGTGTGTAGATGGAAGTGGGTCTGGCTGCAGCGAAGGCCATCAAAGCTGTTCATGGAATGGACTACACTGTGGGCACCTCTCCTGACGTGCTGTGTGAGTTAAAAGAAATCTAAACCTTTAGAAGTCGCAGTTATGAAAATGGTTCATTCTTAATTGTAGCTAATTGTGGCTCATTTTTGCCCTGTTTTCATCATTTTTGACATCGAAACAAACATACAAATGTTGAAAGTGTAGACTGAAATGTGTAGATGTGTAGATTGGTCCCACCTATGGTAAATAAAAATACATTTAGTGGATTCCTCTGTCATTTCATAATTATGCTGATCGTTAATCTCAATCGCAACCAATATGGAAGCTTGCTTAGCTATATCTACCTATATACCATGGAAAAAAAACAGTTCCCAATTTTCCACCAATACTTTAAAGCAGCAGTTCTGAAACACCATGGCAATGGCCTAGCAACATCTTAGCAACCACCTGGGATACCATAGAAATGGTCTAGCAACATCTCAGCAACCACCTGGGATAACATGGCAATGGTCTAGCAACATCTCAGCAACCGCCTGGGATAACATAGCAACAGTCTAGCAACACCTTAGCAAATCACCTGTGATTCCATAACAATGGCCTAGCAACATCTTAGCAACCACCTGGGATAACATAGCAACAGTCTAGCAACACCTTAGCAAATCACCTGGGATTCCATAACAATGGCCTAGCAACATCTTAGCAACCACCTGGGATAACATAGCAACAGTCTAGCGACACCTTAGTAATCACCTGGGATTCCATAGCAATGGCCTAGCAACATCTTAGCAACCAACTGGGATCACATAGCAACAGTCTAGCGACACTTTAGCAATCACCTGGGATTCCATAGCAATGGCCTAGCAACATCTTAGCAACCACCTGGGATAACACAGCAACAGTCTAGCGACACCTTAGTAATCACCTGGGATTCCATAGCAATGGCCTAGCAACATGTTAGCAACCACCTGGGATAACATAGCAACAGTCTAGCGACACTTTAGCAATCACCTGGGATTCCATAACAATGGCCTAGCAACATCTTAGCAACCACGTGGGATAATGTAGCAATAGTCTGGCGACACCTTGGCCAATCCCCTGGAAACCATAGCACTGACCTTGCAAGACTTAGGAAACGCAACCTAGCAACACCTTAACAAGTAGCTGGGATATCATTGCAATGATCCAGCAACACCAAAGCAACCCCCTGGGATACCATAGCAATGGCCTCGCAACATCTTAGCAGCCACCTCATATAACATGGCAACACGTTAGCAGCCATTTAGCTTCGTCAAGCCAACTCGAAGTGTGTTCAAAACCTTTCTCTCCTAGTTAAGTTTGCTCTCTGTCTTCTCAGCAAAACGTGTTTAACATTTGCAGATGACTGTAACTGGAATATAATCCCTCATGTTTCCTGCAGATGCAAATTCGGGTTCCTCGCGTGACTTTGCCCGTCTAATCGGGATCCCTTTCTCCTTCACCTTCGAGCTGAGAGACAAGGGCGACTTCGGCTTCGAACTGCCTGAAGATCAGATCCAGCCCACGTGTGAGGAGGCTTATCAGGGGGCCATGTCCATCATCACCCACGTCCATGATAAGACTTTTACCAGTGCAGCTTTTACCGTAACAGCCACGCTGTGGACCACGCTGACAGCTGCGTGGCTCTCTAGCACCACCTTGCTGTAAACTGATGAAGCTTCTCCTCAGCGTTTGACTTCATCACCTGAAGATCAACCGAATCAATGACATTCTGTCACCCGTGTTCAGTAGCATTAGCTACCCAGTTGCTATCAAGTGTAAATGAAGTTATGCTTGATATTTAAAATTTGAAATATTTATTAAAAACTGTCATTCCAAAGGTACTAAAGTTGCTAATGGGGAATTACAACACTTTTTCAAATTTTCTGCATAATTAAACTATTGAGCTTTAATCAGAATGATTCAGAGTGGTTTGGTGTTAAGTGGTTCAGATGTCTTTACAGTGGTGGTGATAGGAACCAGGGGTCGCCATGACTACAACACAGACTATAGACATTTTATTTACTATCCAGAACCACCAGTGAACCTACACGAGTCTTCTGAGTTTATATGGAGTGTTGATGATGGAAAATAGTGATAAACCTGAAATAATAAGTTAAGGACTTAAGGGGACTATTTTTCCTTATAACTCCCTCCATGTATCCCTCCACTATGAATGGATTTTAAAGCCAAAATCTCCTCATACCTACCATAAAAATGTCTCAGACATCAGGCAGTGAATTCATAACCATTTCAATAACTTTCTGCGAGGGAGCTTTTAGGGATGGACGTCTGGTTCCTATCACCACCACTGTGAACAATTCTGACTCTGTAAGTTTCTCTAGAATGGAGCGTTTCACACCAAACCACTCTGAACGACCCTGTTTACTCCTCCACCACTTAATTATGCTGAAGTTTTGAAAAATCACTGTAACTCCCCTTTAAAGGACACCATACGTACAGTGTAAAACAGCAACATGCCTTTTCTGTTTGAAATAAGGCAGTGATATTTGTAGGCCTGCTTTTATTTTCCTGGAAAACCCATATTGGGTCCCAGACTGCTGTGCAATGTATGAAGAATGTATTTCAATCTGCTTTGATTAAACAGATGAAAATCAAAATTTTTACATATGTGCTCATTTTTTGCTCCAGTTATTCACAACAGCTACAACATGCATTAATACAATGAGTAACTTTGACATAATTAATAAACAGGACTGAAATAAACTGAAATGAATCAATAATCTAAAATAAATAAGTATATAGACAAAGAAAAAATAATACTAATAAACTAAAATAATATTTATAATAGTCTACAATGTAATAATAATAACAATAATAATAAGAAGAAGAATATCTAAAGAAAGTATTGCTCTTGTTATTGTTGATTTTTTTTAAGTAATGTATTTCTCCTTTAAAACAGACATCTTTGAAATGGCGTTTGAACACTTTTTTTGCAAATAAAATAAAACAATTAACAGGATATTCAACACTAATATTAAAATTTGAGTAGTAACAAAATATCTTTCATAGAAAATAAAATGCCTCAATTTCCTAAATTTCACATTATAACACATTTTAGGGAAGGCATATATATGGAACACAATGTCACAAATCCAACAATAAAAAATAATAAATAATAATCATTTTAAAAATTACATCTCAGATCAGCTTATTTGCAGATAAGATAGTAGTGAGGATTCTGGAGGTAAACACAGCTTTTTCTGTTTTATGAATGTAATATTTCCACAAGTTCACAACCTGTATTTTGTATTACAAAATAAAAGACAAGGCGAGCTTATTTACACAGCACCCGTTCATACACCGCGGTCAATTCAAAGCGCTTTACAAATGAGAAAATGGAGAATAGAAATTAAATCACGATGAAACCAATAGATTTAAAGAGAATATATTAAGCATTAAATAAAAATTCTGATTAAAAATTAAATGAGAATAATGGAGTGTCGTTAGAGGAGAGAAAAAAAACAAACAGTGTTTTAAACTGAGCTAAAAGCTGCTCAAATAGGAACGTTTTCAGCCCGGATTTAAAAGTGTTCAGTGTCGGGGCTCTTCTGGAGCAGCACAGCACTGCCCTACTCTTTACCTTAGGAAGGACTAACCGAATAAATAAGAATGAGAATATGAATAAACAAACGTTAAGAGAGACCCAAAACACGGAAACTTTTATTTTGTAAGACGTTGTCGTCGTGACGCAAACGACCGCGCTTGCGCACTGCGGCAGCGGAGCTGCGGAGCGTTACCGCGCATGCGCAGTGGAAGCTCCGGTTATGGCAGCGGGTCGGTTCGGTGCAGATTCGGCGGAAAAGTGACCAAAGCAGAGAAACGGCGCGGAGCTTTGGCGGTCAGAGGGGCTTTAGCGGTCGGTGGACTTAAAGAGAGAAGCGGGAGGCGCTCTGCTTCACCTCAGCACGGCCAGCCCGTCCGCGGAGCCTGTGAGGAGACATTAGCCGAGGCGTGCGGCTAGCTGGGCGAGCGATGGGCCGGTCGCGGAGCCGCAGCTCCTCCCGCTCCAAGCGCTCCAAGAGCGGCGGAGCGAAGCACAGCAAGAAGCGCAGCCGCTCCCGGTCCCGGGACAGGGAGAGGAAGAGGCGCTCCAAGAGCAGAGAGTCCAAACGGAACCGCCGGCGGGAGTCCCGCTCCAGGTCCCGATCCGACACGGCGCCGCCCTCCCGCCGGGAGCGGGAGAGGGCCGCCTCGCCGCCGGAGAGGATCGACATCTTCGGCCGGGCTCTGAGCAAAAGAAGCGCCGGCGACGAGAAGCAGAAGAAGGAGGAGGAGGAGAAGAAGGCGGAGCTGGAGAGGCAGAGGAAGATGTGAGCGACTCGTTTTGGCTCCTTGGTCCGTCCAGAAGTCTCTGGACGCCCTTTAGCGAGCTCAGCCGCTTTCAAAGGGGCGGTTTGGCAAAAATATAGTATATACGGCTCATTCCTTAAAGGGCAACTCCACCGAATTTTCAGACGTTTTCTATAGTTCGATGGTCAAGATGTAAACAGAGTCGTTCAGAGTGCTTTGTTGTGAAACGCTCTGTTCTAGAGAAACTTACAGAGTCAGAACCGTTCACAGTGGTGGTGATAGGAACCAGACGTCCACCTCTAAAAGCTCCCTCACAGACAGTTGCATGAATCGGTTATGAATTCACTGCCTGATGTTTGAGACAAACGTACTTTAATCAGTTTATTTTAATCCGTTCATTGGTGGAGGGATACATAACATGCAGGGTGCTGTGAGGCAAAGTAGTCCCCCAAAAACGTTTTATAGATTTTCCATTATTTTCCATCATCAACACTCCATATAAACTCAGAAGACTCGTGTAGGTTCACTGGTGGTTTTGGATAGTAAATAAAATGTATGTATTTCTGTTGTAGTCATGGCGACCCCTGGTTCTTATCACCACCACTGTAAAGACATCTGAACCATTTCACACCAAACCACTCTGAATCACTCTGTTTACATCTCAATCACTGAAATATACAGAAATTTTGAAAAATAAGTGGAATTATTCTTTGACTCAAACTCAGCTGACTGACCAGGACATGTTTAATGTTGGAAATTTGCTTCTTTAGGTTTTTGCACTGGAGCTGTGAGTCTAACATAAGTACTGCCAATCTGTACCAGAATCTCCTCCAGTGAATTAGACTTCAGTTATATTAGCCTCTTTTCTCCAATACAAGTCAATACTTTTAAGTTTAAGGTGAGGAGAAAGCAAGTTAAGATGCACCAGTTGCTGACACAGTCATTGGGTTTCTCCTGAACAGCTTTGCTTTCCGTAGAAAAGCATTGACCAATAGAACGGGACGCTCTGGAGCAGCCTAAGAGCCTAAGGTCTCCATGCACAATGCCAAGCATGGGCTAGAGGGGCATGTAGCCCCCCAGCATTGGGCTGTGGAGCAGTGGAACTGTGTTCTCTGGAGTAACGGAGCTCCATCCAATACCTTTGGGATGAGTTGGAGTGATCCGGAACCGACAATTCAACATCACTACCTGACCTCATTAATGACCAATCAAATCCTCAGCAGTGTTCCAACGTCTAGTGTAAAGCCTTCCCAGAAAAGTGCAGCAAAAAGGGACAAACTCGCTATTAATACCCTTCATTTCAGAAGATACACTGAACGAGCAGGCGTCTACAAACTTTTGGACATGTAGTGTAGGTCTAGGGTAGTTAGCCAGGCTCATGTAGACTTTTCATGGCTAGTCAGCACTAGTTGCAGAGGTTTGCTAGGCCACTGAAATGGATTAAGATAAGATAAACCTCCCTAACGTGGAGTACAGTCCACGTTTTTGCTTTGGCCCAGCTCCCAAACACTGAGCTTGGACATAAATAAGCCCATACAGAAACTTCACTGGCATAAGTGAATGTAAGGACAAAGTTGGGAACAACTGTGTTTGTATGCTGTAGCATTAAAATCACCTATCACTGAAACTAAGGGGCCCAAACCGTGAAACACTGCACAGCCCATTATCCCTCCTCCACCAAACTTTACTGTTCCGAAAGGTAGCGCTCTCCTGGCATCCGCCAAACCCAGATTCATCCATCAGACTGCCAGATGATTCATGATTCATCACTCCAGAGAACACGTTTCCACTGCTCCAGAGTCCACTGGCTCACTTTGTGAAGCTCCTGACGCTCAGTTCTTGTGTTGATGTTCCTTCTAGAGGCATTTTAGAGCTCTGTATTCAGTGATGCAGCAGAGGACAAATGATTTTTACGCCCCACTCTGTGAGTTTGTGGTCTACTGCTGTGTGACTAAACTGTTGTTGCTCTTAGATGCTTCTATTTCACAATAATAGCACTCACAGTTGTCTGGGGCAGATCTAGCAGGGCAGAAAATTCAACATACTGACTTGTGGCAAAGGTGGCATCCTATGACGGAGCCATGTTTAAAGTCACTGTATGCCCTGTTCTACTGCCAGTGTTTGTCTATGGAGATTGCAAGGCTATGTTCTTGATTTTATACACCTGTTAGCAATGAATGTGACTGAAACCACCCAAACTCAGTAAATAGGAGAGATGTCCACATACTTTTGGCCGCATAATGCAGCTAATCAACCCCCCCAGATCAGTGGCAAAATGACTTTAAGACGAACAACCTCAAAAAACTGAAACCCTTCGTAGGCGTTGCAATGACTTTTGTTGTAACTCCTGAACAGAAGCCACTTAAGCATCTTTCTGATCCACTCTTGTCTCCCTCAGCCGGCAGCAGGAATCGAGGAGCGTCTGATCGAGGAGGAGACGGCGCGGCGGGTGGAGGAGCTGGTGGCCAAGCGGGTGGAGGAGGAGCTGGAGAAGAGGAAGGACGAGATCGAGAGGGAGGTGCTGCGGCGCGTGGAGGAGGCCAAGCGCATCATGGAGAAGCAGCTGCTGGAGGAACTGGAGCGGCAGAGGCAGGCCGAGCTGGCGGCCCAGAAAGCCCGCGAGGTAAATACACAAACATGCGGACGGCTCGATCATGTGTTCAGGTCAGAAACAGCAGTTACTGCCTATTTGAAGTAGCACAGCTCACAGAAAATGATGTTTTGTGATGCAGTTTAGAGATGGCACAAAACTGAAAGCTGATATGATACAATAGCGATACTAAGCTTTAGGCTTTTTCTAGGAATTTTACACCAGCAATGTCATATTTCATAAAATGCTATCAAAAACTATGAATAAATCCAGTTTAACACGCCCAATTATGCACCTTTTTAATTGAAATAGTACTGATGATACACGTGATGCACTCAGACAAAGGAATTGTGGTGTAATTTATCACAAAAATGATAAATGTTGTCATATTGGCACATTTTGGTGCAGGTGTAGCAGCAGCATTCATTTACACTTACCGGCCCGTTATTTACACCATAAAATTGCAACCCAGACCAGCTGATATCAAAATTGTAAATCGTCTAATTGCCGATCACGATACGCAAAAATCAGACAATTCTGATACTTATAATCCCAAGGAATGTGGCCACGTTCACATTACGAACCTCGTTGCTCAAATCCGATTTTTTTGCTCAAATCTGATCTCTCTGACACTCTGTTATTATTAGAGTGAGACGAAGGAGAAAAAGGTGAGATGAGCTGCTTTTCCACCGTTTACAGGCTTTAACTTCCGTTCGGCGCTGCTGCCATGGTAACGCAGAATGATGGCGCACGCGCAGTGGAAAAAAAGCACATAAATTCCGATCTGAGCGTCACATTGAGGTCATTTGGCCACGAATTGGATACGTATCCAATCTAGAACCACATACGAAAGGCAACGTTCACTTTACCAGGTTGAAGTGGCACAAATCCGATTTTTTTTGCCCTAATGTGACTCAGATCTGATGTTTTCTGGGCTGTGTGGACACGCAAATCTGACCTGAGCCACTTTCATATATGGTCCTAGATTGGATACGTATCCGATTTTGGCCATGTGACCTTAATGTGACGCTCAGATCGGAATTCATGTGCTTTTATTCCACTGCGCGTGCGCCATCATTCAGCGTTACCATGGCAGCAGCGCCGAACAGAAGTTAAAGCCTGTAAACGATGGAAAAGCAGCTCATCTCACCTTTTCTCTCCTTCGTCTCGCTCTAATAATGAAGCTGAGAGCTGATCAGAGTTAATGATCTTCTCAGCGAAGCTCGTTCTGCTCGTTAGTTTGTGCTGATGATGCACGTGATTCATTCACGTGACGTTACTGAGTAGGATGAGCTCATGAGGGTCATTTCAGGACGCCGGTTTCGTCACATTAATGACAGATTTGAATCACTTACCTAAACGAGTGTGAACCATCGTGTCCGAGCGATCGGATTTGAGCAATGAGGCTGGTAATGTGAACGTAGCCAAAGTGGCTCAGGTCGGATTTGAAAAGATCAGATTTGTGTCCACACAGCTCTGAAAACATCAGATCTGAGTCACATTAGGGCAAAAAATCAGATTTGTGCCACTTCAACCTGGTAATGTGAACATAGCCATAGTATCTCTTCCAGTGCAGAAGTTTACCAGACTAGATTATTTACAATACAGAAATTCTAACCCTAGTTAATTGTTTAGCTACAGACTCACTGTCCTCATGTTAAAGAGGCGCTCTGTCCAAAATGAAGATATTAAGAAAGTTGTAAACATGCCTGCTCACCTCCTACACTCTTAAAAATAATGGTTCTTCAAGGGTTCTATATAGAACCATGAACACTCAAAGCCCCCTCTGCGTGATTAAAGGGTTCTTCACATCATGAAATGCTTCTTCAGGTCAAAGGAGAATCTGCTGTAGATGAGATTTTGAAAAAGGTTCTCTATGGCACCACAAAGTGTTCTTCTATTGTTAAGACGTACATCTTGTTGCAGTAGAAGAACCCATTTTGGTGCCATATAGTCCCATTTTTAAAATGGTTCTATATAGAACCGCCTACAGCGCCTTCTCCATCAATCTGAAGAACCACTTCGTGATGTAAAACTGCACTGTAAAACATGGCAAATAACGTATTACATGCTAGTTTTAGGCTCTTTAACGTTAGGCTACATTTGGCTGTTGCTCCTTACAAGGCCTGCTGTAATTTGGCCGCAAGCAAGACTAGGTTTTTTCTAGTCGTTCTTTCTTTCGCCGATATCCAGTCTAGGGATTTCCGCTGATATCAGTTCGGTGCCATCTCTAATACACTTATTAATGACAGTTTATGTAAATATTAATACTGTTTTGACTGCATCACACCATCGTAGTTACTCTGTGAACTGGATAAACTAACAGTGGTGTAGTTTGGACTGTCCTGTTAGCACCTACAGCACACAGACCCAAGTTTAGAGTTACTCCAATGCTATTAAAAGTCTCTGTACTGGTCTGAACTTGACTGTCCCTCTCAGCTGCGTAAGAACGGTGAGATTCGTTCACGCTTCCGTGCCTCCTTATCCAAACTCGAGCCGACTGCCGCTCTGATGGCCCTGCCCTCTGTGGGCTCTTTTGTGTGCCAGAGAATGTAAGTAAAGAAACTGCCCCAAATACAGGTCAGTGCTTCAAAAGCAAGAGGCATCCTTGTTTTTCTGCGAGGGGGGTGGGCGAGCGCACTTCACCACACAAAAGCACACGCTGGCACGCTGACCCCCGACTCCTCCAGGAGCCGTGTAGATCTGAGTCGCTGAAGGATGAGGTTTCTGTAGGTAACTCCTGGCTTTTTTTGGTGAGAAAAAAAGTCTCTCCACACTGTTTCATTTGTTACCCAGCATTAGTCGAATTTTGTTTTTTTGTGTTACTTGATATGTCAGTGGTATTCAGATCAGGTCTACTGCGTTAAATCTGGGGATACAAGTAAAAGAAAATAGAGTTTTTGTTTGGCGCAAAATCAGATTGGCTCAAACTGCCTCATGTGTAGTTGATCTGCCACGACATGTTTGATGTCTGCGATTTGTATTTTTAGTCGTGCTTGGAGCTACAGTGACGGGAAAGACGTATTCAGACACTTTTGTGTTTGTAATTTAAGATATTTCCACGTTGATACACTGAAAGTGCATATACAGTGATGCATCAGGAGATGTCGGAGGAGAATTTGGTCGTTTCAGCCAAGATAGAGTAGAAGACGGACATTTCTGGACAATAACTCCAAACATACAGCCAAAATGACTCAAGACTGGTTTCAGAGGAGGCTGAAGGTGCCTCCTGGCCTCGCCAATCTCCTGACTTTTAGAGTTTGAAATTGAGAACATTAGAGGGGCCAAAATTTATGCTGTGAAAAGCTAGTTATTTAGTTCTTCTGAAGGCCATAAATGCCAATTATTTTGTTTGTTTACAATTACAAATGCATACTTTTTTGTTCATATCTATACAAACAGTTAAAGGACATTAATATGCAAATCTGAAGAGGCTGAATGCCGTGGACGTATCTTAAACAAGATAAACTAAAGTGTCTGAATACTTGGTTCCTCCTATCTATGAGGCTAATAAAGCTAATAGAAACTTCTACCCCAGCAGTTGAAGAGAGTGTGGAATCTCTTTAGCATCCAGACTGTGAGTTGAGTATCACTGATATAACTAATTGTGAACGTGTCTTTGATTGGACACTCACTGAAACATCTGTACTTTGCAGGAGGAAGAGAAATCGAAGCGTGAGGAACTGGAGAAGATTCTGGTGGAGAACAACCGCAAGATCGCAGACGCTCAGGCTAAACTGGTACATCCCCTTGCTTTACTTCTCTAAAAAGTGCCGGGTTCTTCTTGTTATTCTTGTTATATGGATATATCGAAACATTTAACATGTAAATGTCTGTACAAAAATTTGGACTACACTGTAAACACTAGTGCTCTCTGAACAAATTCTCCAGTACGCATCCTTAAAATGACCCTAATAATATTTACATTTCGCAATAAACCCCAATATTACTGCAGTTCGGAATATATCCTGTAGGTGGCAACAGTGCATTGATAGTCAGGCTGAAGCCCAGCTGCAGCGCACTGTGTTGCTATGATTGATGTCTTCTCATTGAAATCCAACTTGTATGAGTCACTTGTATCACTCGTGTATTGTTTGAGTTGTTTTCGAGTTGTTTTTATGGATCATATCGTAGTCTGCTTACTTACATTTAAAACGTATTATTAGCCCGTTTTAATAAACATATCGCCGCTGTCAGGAGAAGAAAACCTTGTATCTCATTTTCGTTGTTTTTTGGTTTTTGACACAGTTTAAAAATACCTGGTTTCCTTTACATTGTGTATGAATTTCATGATGAATGGACCAAAAGAAATGGCTCGAAATGCCTTGGAAAAAATTCTGGTTCCATTGACTTACATTAAAAGTAAAGCATGTTCTTTCCTTCTTCTGTAAAGTTACCATTTTGGAGATACAAGCAACAGCAATATCAGATCTGTAGTTGCGGTTGCTATGGGAACACAAGATGTCTAAAAGCATGTTCTACTTGAACCTGTTTGACTGCGTATCTGTGTTACATTTACTCTGGGTTAGTGTGTGTCCTGTATAAGCCCTGCATCACTGGAATGCGTCCTGTAATCTGTGTGTCCTCTGGGGGGAAACTGGTTTCCTGAAAACATCAAACGTGTTCAAATGTGATCTGTTTAGTGCTTTTCCTGCTCTTACAAACCCAGTTTAAACTCATGGAGGGAGCAGGAATCCCTCCAAAATGTGAAGCGCAGGGCTGCTGGAGGACCTACAAGCGTTGAAGAATTGGCACTGAGCCAATTCGATAATGAACTTGATAACTGACAGCCATAGACAATCAGCACTGAGCTCAGCCATTTACAGCTGTTTAAAAAACTTTCTGTTCTCAGCCACGAGAGCTTTTCTCTATCTGGAATGAATTAATGCAGCATTACAGTGACAACAAATTACAAACCTGGTTTTAGGCAATTAAGCTTCTGATGTTAAAATGTTTCCTTAATGGCATAATGAGAGATATGAGTACAGCTGTACATTTACAGCAATTTAAATTTAAATGGTCAGAGAACAGAATAATGTTCTTAACATTCATTAGTAGGGCTTTTCTTGCTGTGTTTGGGTTTGACATACCATTTCACACAGAGGTCTCCAAGCTGTTTACAGTATTTTACTTCAGCCAGAGTTCGCCAGGCTTACTTTTATGCCCCTGGACTTAAGGTCAACTGGAGTTAACAAAAAATGGAGCCAGTCGTTTGTTTCATTAGACGTACCAATAATGTCAGCATTTGCCAAATACCATAACAGTGTTTTTGACTGGCTGGCCAGAGCAGAAGAGCTGAACATTACTACAGTGTGAGTAAAGCCTTGGGTTCACTACATGACTTTTAAAGTCTGAACACATTATAAGAGACTGGGCGTCTCACACTATCAGACGGGTTTCTGCAGATTTTTTTGGGCTGAAATATTGGGGATCCACACTAAACGATCAGGGATCACACACTACTCAACTTTTAAGATGTTGCTGAATTGAAAATAACTTACTGAACTTGTGCAAACTCTTGCGAACTCTCGCATTCTCCCATTACTAGGAGATGCAAATAAACAAACGTGAGCTGTTGCTGCTGTATTCTCTGCCATTTGCGCTGAAACAGTAAAGAAGCAGCAGGTAAACATGTTTAATTGAGGCTCATGGATTTAAAAAATGTGATCAGTTTGGAACTGAGAGTTTTAAATGTACATAAACTCGATTGTCTTAAACTCAGCTCATTAAAAAGCTTCGCTCCACACGTGAGGGACTTTTTCGCCATTTTTCATTTACTTGCTGCATTTTCTTCTTTCGCGCTCTCAGTTTTCATTGGTTGTTGCAGGAATACATTCAGATTGAGTCGATCAGTTACACTAGATTTCGCGTGAGTCGGGTTGAATCATGTTTGATAAACTTCGACTGGTCTGAAACGCGATCATGTGGCTGTAAATCTGAGTCTGTGCCTCTCAAATACAATCCGACTCTCTCTGCAACTGCCAACTCCGACTGACGCAAAAATCTGCAGACTAGAGTCGACCAGCTCAGACTCAGCCAGACTTAGAATCAGGGCTAAAATCAGGGTAAAAGTCGTGTAGCGTAACCATGGATTAAGGCTGGGTATCGTTTCAGTACTGATACCAGTCCGATACCTTGAACTCGACACTAGTAATTTTCTATGCCTCTTTTTTTTTTGCTGGTGACACACGATTCATTCACGTGACGTTACTGAGTAGGATGTGCTCATGAGGGTCATTTCAGGGTGCCGGTTCGTCAAATTAATGACAGATTTGAATCACTTACCTAAACGAGTGTGAACCATTGTGCCAGAGAGATCGGATTTGAGCAAAAAATGGATTTGAGCAACGAGACTAAGAAGCTAAAAGCTAAGCCCTGGACATCCACGGGTTTACCGCTCATGACCCTGTCTTGTTAGCACGTTTGCACAGTTGTTGTTCGCTGCTGACACTCTTGTTGTTCTCTCAGGCTGAGGAGCAGCTCCGGATCGTGGAGGAGCAGCGCAAGATCCACGAGGAGCGCATGAAGCTGGAGCAGGAGCGCCAGCGGCAGCAGAAAGAGGAGCAGAAGATCATCCTGGGCAAGGGCAAGTCACGGCCCAAACTCTCCTTCTCCCTGAAGGCGGCGGACTGACGCACAGGTTCAGCCGCCGTCTCCTCAGACTCGCTCTCGAGGGCTCCTCTCCGCGGGCGTCAGCTGCTCAGCACAGATCCAACACGACGCGTCTATAGAAACGTTTTTGTTTTTCTTCTTTTTAGAAAGTGGAAGCCTTGTCCCTGTTTCATGACCTCGGTTTTTGTATTACTGACTGTTGCATAGGAAGCCGTCACCTTCGTGTTCTCTCTAGAGCCGTCTGAGAGATGTGGGGGAGAACCGCGTGGGAAAAAAACAACGATATGGACAAAAGTACGCTGAACTGGACGCTCCCAGAGTGGGCGTAGTATGCGTGTCTGTGCTTAAGAGTGTCTTGCAAAATGTTTTTCGATCTTTTCATAATTTATTCATGGATTAAACAGACCAGGACGAGTGCAGCGCTTGACCTTCCGCCGTCAAGCCTTGATGTGACAAACCTCGCCCAGTTCTACACATCGGTGAGAAGCAATATACGGGAAATCAAGGATCTGTGTTTATAATAGGTCTCAGAGCAGGAGTTCAGCCTTGATCCTAGGCTTTACAGTGTCTATGATCAGGGCAAACTAGGCACGATGAAGCAATCAACCGTAAACCGACAAACAGTTTTTCAAAAAAAGGGTGATATTTTTCAGATTCCAGCAGTGGCTGACTGTCGGGGGGGCGGAGTATATAGGACACATATGAGTCAAATGACTTAAGAAATTTGACCAAACTGAAAAACCAAAACTGGTGCAGCAGTTGCATTCAGGCGCCTGTACAACTATAACAATGTAACTGACTCCATTTAAGATGGAATGGAAAATTTTTCCAAATAAGCTGCCAAATAAGAACTTCAGCCTTGTAGAAATTTAGACATGAAACTACATTCAGCACCGTTTGCCAGACAGATGTATCCATACATTGTTTGGCTTTGTTTTGATTTTATTTAGCACAGTAAAATATATTCATAAATCTGATTAAAAAGTGAACACCTTCCAGAATAATAAGCCACTGTTAACGTACACAAATACCAAAGCATGATTATGTATTGAAACTGTCTGAAATTTTAATTATACTGTGATATAAAGTTTTGGTCACACCACCAAAATAATGTGTTGTGTAAAATAATAATAATTCACATCTCAACTTCTGTGAGGCTGAATTTGGCTTCTTATTTGGTAGCTTTTTGGGAATTTGAATAAGAAGCCGACCTCAGCTTCATTTGCCTCACGTGTGTCTCGTATACTTGCCGCTCCGACCGTCAGACACTGCTGGACGTTACAGCCATTACGTCGTCTTATGTTACTGAGGGACACTGAGCTAAAGCTGCACTAGTCATGACGTTAATGTTTGTTTTAACATGGACAAGTAACGATTGGTAGAAGTTCAGATACTCAGAATAACAGAAGTTTCATTCGGCTGTTTTTATATCTCAGTTTCTTCTTCAGCTGTTCAGTTTTTGATCGTACAGTTTTGGGCTGTTTACTTGATGTATACACTGATATCTGGACTCTACGTTTCACAGAAAACCAAGGAACATTTTTTATCTCGGTGCATTAATACCGAATTAATACTATGGGCGCTTATAAATATCTGTATATGACGTAATTTACAGTGGATTTGAACATGGTTCAGCCAATCAGATTCCCAAGCTGGAGCTGTCTATTTTATGTGTCGCATCCTTGAAAAGACTTTTTTAATGTTCCCTGTCATATTAACCCATTTATGCCCATTCTGGAATTTTTAAATTTCCTTTACTAAAGCATCGCTGAGCACAAATCTGAAAACAAAAATTGGTCAGTGTGGCTAGCATTTTTAACTGTACATGGCCACTGAAAATGGCTCACACAAGGAGATGGGAAAAAAAATAAACCACCCACAATTCAGGATTAATCAAATTACAATAATTTGAAATTTGGACATGTGTGAGTTTTTTTCAGAAAAATGGTCTGAAGTTTCCTTATAAGTCTTTGGTTTTTTTTTTTTTTTACTTAAATTCTGACTTTGGTGAATATTAGATATGTGAAACAAAGTTTTTCAGTTTTCAGATATTGGTTAAATATGCAGTGCCAATATGTGCCCGTACACCAAATCTGAGCTATTTTTGTCAAAAAAAAAAAATTCTGTGGCCAATTTTAGTTTTATAATTTTTTACGTATTGGTGAGTTGAGCACCATGTCTTATATTTCAAAGACAGAATACATGTTTTCCTGTGATCTTTCACTAAAACGTAAAGACTTTTCTCCTCTGATTTTTGGTACGAAGGAAAGCTTGGCCTCCTACTCTGAGATACTTTATGAACTGCAGTCCAGGGTTGCACCAGTTCTGCGTCAGCATTTGACAAAATCTGTGAGTAGTCTTTCGTTACCAGTGGTCAGTTCCAGACTGTCATTTTAGTAGCTTCAGTTGCACCAACAGTCTGTGGTCAGTTTGTAACCAGTCGATTAACGGGCTTTGCTGGAAACCTGGAAATTACATTGGTTCTGCAGTTCCATGTAAAAATGAAACCGTGCTCAATAAACCAACCAGCATATACATTTTTAAAGCTGACTTGAATAAAACTGAACACCTACATCCTTATTCGTTTGCTTATTTTGGTGTTTCCTCATACAACTGAATGTGCAGCCATGTTGTCAAATGTGTTCTGATTAACTGACGTTTCAGGATTGGTGGATCAGTAGGCAGTGTTTAGGTAGCTACTGCTCGACATTAAAACTAGTTTGTGTGCTGCGGCCTGTTTGGCTTTAGTAATGAAGTTTAGTAAATACCAACCTTCTTCAACTTTCTTGAACTCCTGAGCGTATAGCTGGTGCAACCTGCCCCAAAATGATGTCTTTGGAAAGTCTTCTCCAAGTTTGTGCAGTGAAAATAACATTCGCCCAACAAATGTTACTGGTATTACTACCAGGAGTGGAAAACGTAGAGAAATTATACCAAATTTTCTGAATAATTCAGTCCTTGAGAGGAGCACTCAGAGTGGTTTGGTGTGAAATGGTTCAGATGTCTTTACAGTGGTGGTGACAGGAACCAGGGGTCGCCATGACTACAACACAAATATAGACATTTTATTTACTATCCAGAACCACCAGTGAACCTACACGAGTCCACCTATAGCCACTGAGTTGTACAGAAAGCTGTAGCTGGTCTTGAATAAATACCTTGGATATATTCGTGTAGCCCTTCCTCCAAAACAGGCTGCTGTATTGTAAAACGTTTTAAATGGCGCTCTGATATAGCCGTGTCTGTTGGTGAGCGCAGAAACAATGTCTTTGTATTTGAGACTGTGTTTAGAATAAAGTGCTGTATAGCGGTCAGCCAGTCACGGATACACAACTTCAGCACCCCTGAAAAATGGACAGTGGGCTTAGGGGTTTGAGTGGAATACTGGCTGAATGGCATAGTGGTACCATCTACAGGGTGGAGTGGGTAATGCACTTATGTTTCTATATATCTTGAGATAATTATCTGGGGATAATTAAGTAATATCTATCTATCTATACACGTATATCGCTGCTGTCAAAACAAAACCTTGTATCTCCATTTTTGTTCTTTAGTTTTTGATATATTTTGAAAATGCCTGTGGGCCTTTACTTTGTCTATAAATTTTATGATGAATGGATCAAAAGAAACAGCCCAAAATGACTTGGAAAAAGGTCTGGTTCCATTGACTTACATTAAAAGTAAAGTATGTTTTTTCCTTCCCCTGTAAAGTTATTTTGCAGGTACGAGGTTTTGTTCCGACAGCAGCATCATTCCCCCCATATAAACTGTATTGCATGTATTTCTCCACCAAGAATTGATTACAAAAGTTACGTTTTAGGCTGAAACCTTCTTGCGAAACGAATTTACACAGTGTGTCAGGCATCGGATAAAGTATTCGTCACAATTTCATGTAACAAGTTTTTTCGGAAGGAGCTATTAAAGGCCTTAAACTCGTCTGGTTCCTATCACCACCACTGAACAGTTCTGACTCTGTAAGTTTCTCTAGAACAGAGCATTTCGCACAAAACCACTCTGAACGACTCTGTTTACATCTTAACTGTTAACTTATACAGAAATTTTAGGTGGAATTCCCCTTTTAGTGGAAGTATGGGTGCTGCGGCAGAGTATTTCTCAGTTGAAAGAGGAAGTATGTAGCCTAAAATGAACATGTTCCCACAAATAAATCAGTGTATTTATGTGGAAACTCCTGGTTCTGAATTAGCTTAGTTGTAAACAGCTTCATTTTACTGTAACATGAATTTGATTGTATGTTTTTATGAAGACCGTAAATTCAGATGTGTGGAATGAGCTTAACGCTGAGAGGAGACGGAGAGAAATCTCCTGGTCTTTGACGTCTGTAGTACTTTTGAATGTCTAAATGAAAATGTGAACAGTGGAAAGTGTTTTTATTGGAAATTTAACAGTAAAATATCTTCCAAAAATTTTCCAATTATATTAATGAAGTACAGTTTGAGGACTTTCCACTCTGATTGCTAATATTTCTGTCTGTGGAAACTCGAAACAGTCCTGGAACAATCAGTGAGTGCTAGCAAACACGGCTAGTTCAAATTAGCGTTAGCCGAGCCAGCTAACGGGCAAAACTCTTCACAATTTCAAAACAACCAACATATTTTAAGAACATTCTGGTTACATAGTTTGGTTTAGGTCACTCAGTCTGCCTAGCGTTGTACTCCTTAGCTGTGACTGAGTTACTGCTGAACAGTAACAGTAAGATTAGCTAGCTATGCTAATCACCGCTCAAACCAAACTGGCCTGGTAAGTTATAAGCTACAGTTAATTGGCTTGTTCAGGACCTAAGTTTTGATAGAACCTCAGAAATGTAATACTGAATCCTTTGTTCAGTAGTTCTTCCATTCCATTTCTAAGGAAATGTAGTTTTCACTGATCCTCCACAAGCTAACTCTGGATTCTGCTGCAGTCAGTCAGTCATCCAGTCACAGTTAAAGAGCTGGTTTTTAACCGTGGTAGTTTGGCGTTTGGGGGTTGGGTACGTTTTTTTTTTATGGACTGGTGTGGTCAAGCCGTCCACTGGGCCTTCTCAGAATAAACCTCCCACAGGTCCATCCATGTGGTCAGGAGAGCCGGACGTTACAAATGATCTACAACTGTAAGGAATGTGTGACGATTCGCCAATAAATCCATGAATGTGTCCAGCGTTCATACTGTGTGACTGCTTTGATTTCCAGAGGTGAGCGAGTCCAACACTCCGGTACCATTTATGCTGTATTCGTAGTAACGTTGGAAAAACGTTGGAATTGCTTTCTGGGTTTGTCAGTCACTAGAGGGCGCTCTGTGTCAAAATGAATGGAAACCTTTGTACAGAATTAGCTCATAGAACAGCCTAAAATATTTCAACGCTGCTGTTATATTTTTGAGCATTTTTGAAAGTTATAGGACTTTATAAAGTGTCTAAAGTTCATGATGTCAGTGTGAACTTCTTTACTCAAACTACGAGATAATTGGCTCACCAACCAATCAGCGCTCATGCCGACCAATCAGCACTCAGTAGTAGTAAAGCTAACCCACTGGTGTTTGGTAACAAAAATGCTGACCAGTCAGACAGATGGACAGACAGACAGACAGACAGATAGATAGATAGACAGAGAGACAGATCGACAGATAGATAGACAAATAAATAGCTAAATAGATACATAGATAGATAGATCGATAGATAGATAGACAGATAGAGATAGATAGATAGATAGACCGACAGATAGATAGATAGATAGATCAGATAGATAGACAGACAGATAGATAGGCAGATAGATAGATAGACAAATAAATAGATAGCTAGATAGACAGAGATAGACAGATACATAGATACATAGATAGATAGATAGACAGAGAGATAGATCCTCGCTCTGTCCACTAGTGGGCAGCATTCGGTGGGATCAGATGCGGAGGCTCTTCCAGCTCTGAACTCAGTTCAGTGTGTCTGTATTTCTCCGTGTTAAACAGCTGTTCGAGGGTCCGGGACCACCCTGTCTGAATACCCGCTGTTTATGTGTGTGTGTGTGTGTGCGTGTGCGTGTGTGGTTAGGGGGGTGGTGGTGATGGTGGTGGTCTGTTCGCAGGGTGTTTGCGCTCCGCGGCGCTAATGAAGCGCTTCCTCTCGGCTCTCTAATGACTGATTATCTTTATCTGCCACGCGTCTCGAGGCAAATACACAAAGAGGAGGGCTGATCAAATAAGGGGGTCTTAGCGCTCGAGCTGGACGGAGGTGTGAAGGTGGTCTCACCTCTGCGCTGCGCGTCATCCAATTATCTCCTACCTGCCGGCGGCTCTCTTTGAAGACCACTCAATAAACACTCCGCTGGCCGCGCTGACCAAACGCCTCCTGACCCGTTTGGTCGCAGCGCTCCGTCTGTCAGCAGCGCGCGTTTGATCTCCGGGCAGCGTCCCTGTGAAAAAGTCTGCACACCCCAGTGACATGACGCGTTGGTGCTCTGAGTGTGAATAAGTGAACGCACCCTGCACAGAGAACACGCCTCTACACTTCAATGCGTTTAGACTCATATTAAGGCATAAAGTGTGGCCCGTGAAAAAGTTATGGCACACTTCATACTGTATGCTTTATTATTTTCCTCTATTTATTTATTTATTTATTTATATATATTTAAATATGCTAAGCCCAGCGATCAGGGAGAGTTTGGGCGCCATAATCTGCATAAAATGCCTTGTTTAAGTTATTTACACTTAGACAAATCAAAGTTTTGTACACAACTGTACATATTACTGCACACATTACTGTGTATATCACATATAGAGAGAGACAGACAGACAGACAGACATCAAATAGATAGATAGATAGATAGATAGATAGATAGACAGACACAGATAGATAGATAGATAGATAGATAGATAGATAGATAGATAGACAGACACAGATAGGTAGGTAGATAGATAGATAGATAGATAGATAGATAGACAGATAGATAGATAGATAGATAGATAGATAGATAGATAGACAGACAGACAGATAGATAGGCAGACACAGATAGATAGATAGATAAATAGACAGGCAGACAGACAGATAGACAGACAGACTGACGTTATAAATTAATAACTTTCAAAAAATTCAAATAAAATTTTAAAATACTAAAATCAATGTCTAGAAATTGTCTTATTTTGGGAGATCAATTCTAAAGGCAGAGAACTCAAGATAGATAGCTAGATAGATAGATGTGTAGATATATAGATAGACAGACTGACAAGTTATAATATAACTTAACTTTTTAAAAGAATTAAAAATACTAAAATTAATGTCTAGAAATTGTCATATTTCTGGAGATCAAATCTAAAGGCAGAGAACTCAACAAAAACAAATTACTTAAAACATTAAGTGTCGTTTTTCAGTTTTTTGACGTAATTGGAAAATGCCTGTTACCCTTTACACAGCAGCAGTGTGACAGCAGCAACATGTTAACTACTTGAATTGAAAACAGAATTGAAGTATTAAGAATCTAAAATACATTTTTTTATATAATTTTTGTAGTATATATATATATATATATATATATAGAGAGAGAGAGAGAGAGTGAGAGAGAGATACTGAAAAAAGTCTTTGACTCCTAACCACGTTACAAAAAAGTAAGAAGAAATTCTTCATTAGTAGTTTCAAGTATTTTACTTTCTTTCCTTCCTAAATGGATTCAGTGTTGATAAAAATGTCACTACCTCAGTACAAACAGTGGTTAGATTGTCTTAGACATAGATTAGATAGTCTTAGATTGTCTTCAGTCACTCTCAGCTCTCCGTTTATACGGTTCTCTACAGTTCGGCACTAAAACTCTGATACGTCTTCCGTATTTCAGTAATGTGACTGACTGTAATTGAATAGCTTAATTAAACTGAGAGCTCTGTTTAAAGACCCTTAAAGAACACCAGCCGTCACACCATCACCAGCCTGCCAACGGCTCGGCTCTCTGACTGACACAACATCCATTTACAGTTCAAAAGAGCCAGACTGTTTAAACTCACTCGCTCACTTCACACCACTCACTCACATACGTTTACACTACCTGCAGAGTGCAGCCTGATTACAGCCTCCGCCAGTCTGAAATCACATACTTCTACAACAGGGGTCCAAGCTTTTATCGTTTGGGGGCCAAAAAGACTAAACAATGAAGGAATAAAGAAGGCAGGAAGGTTTCAAATGGAGTTTTTAAGAACATTACACTATGTTTTGTTACTGAAAAAGGAAATTAAGAATTTGAGTTAAATAATAGAAAAATATGTCTTCTTGTATCGTGTGAGGGGGCAGGGTTATGGTAACTGTCCAGTGGTCTGACTTTAGGCTGCGGGCCACACTTTGGGCTGCACTGCTGTCCAAATATTTAAAAAAAAAAGTTCCTGAATGTCATCCAAATCCAGAAAGTGTGAATTTTGAACACTACCCAATCCCACAATGGGACATACAAATGTATCACTGTTGTTGGAACAAAACTAACTTACAGGAGAAGGAGAAGGAAAAAACACACTCTACTTTTAATGGAAGTCAATGGAAACAGACGTCAAGTACTTTTGGATCATTTCTTTTGGTTCATTCACCATGAAATTTGCACACAATATAAAGGACAGTAGATATTTTCAAATTATGTCAAATATTTATATATCATTTTTTACATTTTCTTGCATGATTTGAAAACTCCAGTTACCCTTTACATTATGTTCACATTTCGCGATAAACAGACCAACAGAAAAAATCTGGTTACCATGAGTTCCAATAAAAGTTAACAGTGTTTTCCTTCTCCTGTAAAGTCACTATTTTTGGTTGATGTTTTGTTCTGACAGCTATGATGTTATGCTCCATGCTTTACAACCAACCAGACAGTTTATAACCAGTTTGATTTGGCTTTTCTAGCAGCAGCTCATTCATCATCACTCAGTATTAATATAATTATTCCACATTCTGCTGTAAACTGCTTCATACTTTCCTAATCCAAAGCACTAAAGTCTGAAATCAGCTCGGGACTGAAACATATGCGATGTTTTGAGTTATATGTGCTGAATATGTGTAAATACGCAAATATTTCACAGCAAAGTTTTGGGCAGTTTTTTAGTAAACAGTTTATTTGTTTGTGTTTAGAAAATATTAACCTTTAGGAAAAAAAAAAAAAATCTACAAATAATATCAAAGGTGCCATTACTTTTGCATAGGCCACATTTGCAATCATAAAACAATGTAATATAGCCAAGCTTTTGTCAATACATTAGAATTATGTGCACATATGTGGATAAAAGGTGTGTAATTTTTTACACATATGCCAAAAAATACATATGGATTTATGACAAATGTGAGTGAATGTGTGTAAATCTGCGCATGTGCAGATCTTATTGCTCTAAAACTTGCCTTTCCACCCAGTGAAGCCCAATGAAACGAACCCACTTCCATGAAGAGGGGAACAATTATGGGCGGGGCCAAAACAAAACAGTGGGCGGAGCCCAAAGAACACAGCGGGCTCAGTCTAAAGGCATACGAGGGGCGGGGCTTGTGTGAATGCGGTGGGCGGAGCCTACACGAACACAGCGGATTCCCAGCGCATCTCCAGCGCCGTCCGAGACAGTTCAACTGGAGAACCGGAGGGTGGAAGTTCCCGAGAACTTCAGCGGGTCCGTGAAGCTTCGTCCGCCGCCGAACGCGTCTGCATCTCCTCGTCGAGGGACGCTCTGAGACGGAGCCTTGAGCCGGTCCAGCCGCCCTCGACTGGATTATCGCCCACTCACCGTCGGTAGAACCGAGAGGGATTACGCCGCGGTCCGGATTACAGCTGTGGAGGCTTCAGCTGCGTGACGTCCAGCGCCGTCCACCCTGGTTTCACCTCCATCTCCATGAAAGCGAGACCCTCCGCGGATATAAGCGTCCACGGTGCCTCAGCCCAGCCCGCCCAGGTCCATCTCCTCCTCGGTTAGATCCTGAGATCACACATTCCAGTCGGTGGTCTCGCCTCACCGTGCGATGGAGCCCCTGTGGAGATGTTTGCTCGGACTTCTGGTCATCGTGTGCCGGACAAAGCTGACCCGGTCCACCATTTTAGACTCCATTTACTGGAATACGTCCAACACTAAGTAAGTTTGACCCATCTTCTCGAGTGATATTAGCTACAACACTCAAATTCTAGTGTTTCCAATGTTTCTAAGGTGGGCAAGACCACCCACCTCTTCAAGCTGTTGCACGGCCAAGCTGAAGAACCCACCCAGCCCTTGTGGAGAGGTCCTCAGTGGAACCCAACCCTTACTGTCACACATGGTTCTTTAGTAAAGGCAGTGGAATTGTGAGTTCTTTTGCATGCTTAAATGGTACTTTGCTTGGTAAATGGTGGAGAATGCGTTGTATATGGTTCAATATAGAACCTATTTGACAATGGTTCTATATATAGAACCAAAATGGGTTGAAACAATAGACAAACCATTTTTGGTGCTATGTAGAGCCATTTAAGAACCTTTGGAGAACCATTTCACCATGCCAAGAATCATTTAAGCAGGCTAATGGTTCTAGATAGCACTCATGATTCTAAAGAACCCTCGGAGAACCACGTTCTTTAACATGGTGAAACCAGGCTTGGCTCAGAACCGATGCAACAAGTGCAGTAGAGCTTTCTATGTGTTGTCAGTGACATCTTTGATGCTTTGATTGGACTCATTAACCAGTATAATGTCCAGTTGAGTCCAGATGAGAACAATTCTGACCCTTTTTAAAAGGGATTCCTCAAACGTTCTGCATAATTCATTAGTTGAGATACAAACAAAGTCGTTCAGAATGGTTTGATGGGGAATTCTCGGGTTCTAGAGTTTGTAGTGGTGATAGGAGCCCAATGTCTGCAATTCGTAGCCATTTTATTTTACTGTCCAAACTGACCACATCTACCTTTTCCTGTGTATGTAATGTTGATTGTATGTTTCTTTGGGGACTATTTTGCCCCAAAACGGCCAACATGTACCCCTCCCCCGTGAACGTATTTAAAAAGTATGCTTTTAGACCAAAAACGTCATAAAACAAACCATTTTTTGACTGTGCGGGAGCTTCTAGGGGTGGACGTCTGGTTCCTATCACCACCACTGTGGACAGTTCTGACTTGATAAGTTTCTCTAGAACAGATTGTTTCATATCAAACCACTACAGATGACCTTGTTTACATTTTAGCCAAGATGACAGTAACTGTGTTCGGCATAGAAACGCACAAAAATAAGTTTTAACGTTCCTTTATTTGAGTTTTGAGCATCTGTTGCGTTGCTTTACCTCAATTGCATGAAGTGAAGTTTCTTTAGACACACAAACTCTGTATGTCTGTAGTGCTACTTTTATGACGCATCATTATGAGCCCAAATAAAAGCTTCAGTAGGCCACCCTCTCTTAACCCCTCAATTATTCCCTTTGACAAGGTTTGGTCTGAGAGTAAATACCTCCTAATGGATGTGGCCGTGGGCTTGCCATTTGGTCAGCTAAAGCGAACCCGTATTTAGATGTCACCGACATGAATATTTGGGGATTAGTTTAAGCAACTCACTGGGTTAAATCATCTCGGGCATTCCTGCTCACGGTGGCTACCGCACGTAGCTTTTATAGGTAATTAGGCTGTCAAATAAAACAAGGAGACTAACTCAGCTTAGCCTGGGCTAAGTTTGTGTTGTAATAACACCGTGTGCCCTACCCTGCCCCCCCGAATCCAGGCCTGTATTCAGTTTTCATGAGCTCCAGTAACTCTGCGGGTAATCTTTGTCACGGGGATTTGGAGACAAAAGGCTCTCTAGGTTGAGAGATCAATCCTTCTGCCACCCCCCCTTCTTCACTTGGTAGGTTCCATACTGAAGCCCGGAGCTGCAGGGGGCAAAGGAGGGGTGGTAACGCTTCCTGTCTTCTCAGAGACCCTCAGGAAAACCCTGAAAAACCAGCCCCCCCTTTTTTTTGTTTCCAAGCCCTGATGATTTTATGAGGACCCATAGAGGCTTAAATCACCTTGTTTATTTTATAGGATCTTCGTCAAGAACAAAGTGCAGGGAATGCTCACGGCACGTGTGGAAAAACAGTCGTGACCCGAGTGAACTCTTAATAATAATGGTTTTTGGTTCTTTTTGAACCTCAACAAAACAGTGGCCCATAGTGGGGCATTCGGCCCAACGTCGGCCCGAAGGAATGTCTGATTTGGCCCTCCAGAAAGTTACCTAAAAGTTACGCAAAGTTTTTCTTTTCAAATCCAGTATTTTTGAAGTATTCTGGCAACAAACTCATGCAATGTTATGAAATAGAGCTTGATTTGAAACCTACCTTCTTCATTTTCATACTATTTTGGCATTTTGGGCCACACTTTGGCCCACCCTAGACAAAAAGTTTGGGAACCTCAGTACTACACCGCTTAAAGTTTCCTCTTACAATTGTACGTCCAAGCCAAGAACCAGAAACCTTTATTGTTATATATTTTTAAAAGTGCAACTTCAGTTGGAATCAAGACATTTGGGTTTGAAATGGGACTCCATCGCCTGAAGATCCACCAATTTCTGAGCATTTCTGCATAATTCAGTGGTTGCGACGTAAATAAGGCCATTTGTAGTGGTTCATTGGCGAGATCTTCACAGTGGTGGTAATAGGAACCAGGGGTAAACATACAGCCATTTTATTTACAATCCAGAACCACCAGTGAACCTTCTGAGGTCTTATATGTAATATTGGTAATGGTAGTTTTCTTTGGGGACTATTTTGCCTTAGAGTGAACCTGCATGTACCCCTCCACCATGAATAGACAAAAGAAAATACATCACCATTTCATGTCTGTGGTGGAGCTTCTAGAGGCATGAAACCCTTCAGACGTCTGGTTCCCATCACCACCACTGACTAAATCTCTCCACAATGGAGCATTTCACATCAAATCGCTCTAAATTGCTTTGTTTACGTCTTGAAAATTGGACTGAATTCCCCTTTACAGTGCCGCGGAGCTGGTGGAGGAACCTGTATCAATACTCTCGTGTCAAATTTATGAGCTGGGATTGCTTAGGATACACAATGTAACGCACACCTGCAAAGTGGGGAGTCTTGATGGATGGGAAATAAAACATGAATCCAGCAGGGAAGGAATGTTAATGGCTTGCATACTTTTTCTTCATAAAAACGAGTGCGGGGGAAGAACGAGAGGCTCATCGGCCTCAAGGGTTGTACGGGATTGCAAATGGGTGGTTTGTAAAGATCCTCCATAATTGTTATATGGTCACTTTCTAATTTGGTTGGAGACAAAAGTCGGAGGGAAATTGCTTGGCGTCGTTCGCCGCTTGGTTTACAGCACAAGGAGGGGTCCAGCCAAGGCTTCCTCCTCTTCTAAAACAAAAGCGGGCCTGCATTGTTTAAAACCGCCAGCTTGTAACCGTCTCAAGGGTCAGTGCTTTCGAAGGGCTTGGGGTTAAGTATTTTAATCAGTGCGGAGGCCGAGCCTTTAAAGCTCTCTGTTTAGGCAGCACTGCTTATTCTTACTTATTTGCATTCCTGATTAATTGATCTGATTGAAAAACAAGACTTCAGAAAGACCTTTAGCTAATATTACTTGACCCCCGGTTTATCAGGAGGCCCAGGAAGAGCCGCTTTCCCGTCTGATAACGAGTGTAAAAAAAACAATCAGAAGAATGAAGAAAGATGTAGTTTAAATATAGAAATATAGTCATTTTATTTACTTTGTTTATATGCGAAACCGCCAGTGAACCTACACGCTTGCTGAGTTTTTATATGCAATATTTATGATGGTAAAATAGTGGAAAATCAGTTTTCTTTGGGGACTATTTTGCCTCACAACGCCTTGAATAAGTCCCCCTCCACCATGAATAAGTCAAAAAATATATACATACATACATTTTAGGCTTAACATTTTAGGTCTCAGGCTTCAGGCAGTGAATTCATAACCATTTCATGTAGTAACTTTGTGTGAGGGAGCTTTTAGAGTTGGACGTCTGGTTCCTATCACCACCACTGTGAACAGTTCTGACCCTCTGGACCAGAACGTTTCACATCAAACCACTCTGAGTGACTTTGTTTACATCTTAACCGTTTAATTAAGCAAAAAGTTGGAAAAATCAACGTAATTCCATGTGCAAAGTTTAAACACCCAAATCAAGTGATATGATTTGCTGTTTTTCTGAAAATAAGTGATCGCGTAGAGTGCCGTAACTTTTGCACAGGCCACGTTTTATGTTTTAATTTTTTCCCCAATATGTAAAATTCATCTAAAAAAAACAGTAATCGTGCATTAAAATATGCTGAAGTGTGTTTTCTGTAGAGGACATTAAGTTTGACCAGGGGCGCCAAAACTTTTGCACAGCACCTCATACTCTTATTCTCTTATATGTATAGCTTGTCGATCCAAAACATGGCTTTATACTGTGTTTCCAGCAGCTCATCAAAGGATTGAGGTGATTTAGGGCTGTTAGAAGAACAAAAGCCCTGAACAGATGCTCCAGGACTTCAGGCGTCGAACCATAAACCCAAAAAAACATTTGTTATTTTACCGTGACAGATGTTGACCTTCCAACTCGTCCTTCTCTAGGTTTGTCCCCGGGAGGGGTCTGGTCCTGTACCCTCAGATCGGAGACAAGATGGATATTGTGTGCCCGCGCCTCAGGCCGGGCTCGAGCGACCAGACCAACATCGAGTACTTTCGCGTCTACTTGGTCCCCAAGGAGCAGCTGGAGACCTGCCGCGTGGACAAGAGCAACATGGCCCTGCTGAACTGCGACAAACCCGACCAGGACGTCAAGTTCACCTTCAAGTTCCAGGAGTTCAGCCCCAACCTGTGGGGCCTGGAGTTCCTCAAAGGAAAAGACTATCACATCATCTGTAAGTACCAAGCCAAGTACATCTCCCCTCCCATGCTGTCGTGGGATTAGCTTTCGCCTGCCTAGCCCTTTCGTTGATCTGCGCGAGCCAAATTACAGAACTCGTTCCAGTTTAGGGTCTTGACTGCTTCTCTAAGGACGGCCTCACCTCGAGTTTCTGGCTCTGGGTTTCTGAAATTAGCACAGTGATCAATGGCTTGGCCTGCAGTCTTTGACAAGCATGCTAATTTTCAAGCTAACAAGGGCAGTTAGCATGTTTTTTTCTTCAGTATGTTGACCACTTTTTAGGTTCAGTTCAGGTCAGTTTACTGGAGTGTGATTAGCATGATTAGCATGTTTCTTTTTCCAGTAAAAGACCTCACTGCATCGCACGGTAGATCAAAGAAGCTTTGCCAGCTTTAGGTTTAAGCTCAACTTTGGCTCGTCTTGCTGTTACCATCCAAGATTTGTGTTTTTCTCTTAAGTAGCTGACCGCTTTTTAAGTTAGCTTATTCCAGTCCAGATCATTTTACTTCAGTTTTGCCATCACTGTTGTGAAATTCAGCTTTTACAAAGACAAAATGAAGTGCGATTAGCATGATTAGCATGTTCATCTTCGTTCCACTCTAGCCTGTTTTGCAGTTAGCATGCAAGGTTTTTGGTTTTTCTTGAGAACGCTTGCCATTTTTAAGTTCAGTCAACATCAGTTCTCATTTGTTTTGCTATTACTGTTCACTTTTATAATATCAGAATGATGAAGCGTGCAATTAGATGACTAGCATGTTTTTCTTGAGCAGCTCACCGCTTTTTAAGTTAGTTTGTTCCAGTCCAGGTCATTTCACTTCGGTTTTGCCATCACTGTTGTGAAATTCAGCTTTTACAAAGACAAAATGATGAAGAGTGCGATTAGCATGATTAGCATGTTCGTTTTTCCAGTGAAATCAAAGAAGCTTTCGTTTTGGCATGGTAACAGCAAGATGACCCAAAGTTGAGCTAAAAACTAGAGCTTCTTTATCCAGTCCAGATCATTTCACTTCAGTTTTGCCATCACTGTTATGAAATTCAGCTTTTACAAAGACAAAAATGACAAAGAGTTTGATTAGCATGATTAGCATGTTCATCTTTTTTTCAGCTTTGGCTCATTTTGCAGTTAGCAAGCAAAGTTTTTGTTTTTTTTCTTGAATATACTCATCACTTTTTTAAATTCAGTCCAGATCAGTTCTCGTTTGTTTTGCCACCACTTTTAACTTTTACTACATCAAAATGACGATGAGTGCGATTAGCATGATTAGCATGTTTCTCTTTCCAGTGAAAGACCTCACTGCATCGCCTGGTAGATCAAAGAAATGATAGTAGCTTCAGTTTTACCCTCAGCCCTGGCTCGTCCAGCTGTGCTCCAGTCCTCTCGTCACATTTTCTCAGGCAAATGTTTTTTTGAGCTGATGACCGAGTAGATCAGTGCCGTTCATCGCATTTGAGCTGCTGGTAAGAGCCTTTGGGGGCTAGTGCGTGTCCACTTTGGCCCTTTCTCAGCTGGCACATTCCTGAACGGCCCGGGCGAATGAGTTTAAGATTTGCACGCTCCAAATCCCTGCTCTGCGTTCGCCAGCGTGAGACAGATCGCTTTGACGGGATTTTTTTAGGCAGCTTGGCCCGGAGCCTCGGGGCTGGAGATATCTGACCTAAATGGTCCCGAAGAGGGGTGTGTGTGGGCGTGTGGGCGTGTGTGTGTGTGTGTGTGTGTGTGTGGGTGCACTCATAATAGTGAAGAACTTAGTACGTCTTGGTTTGTGACTTAACAAGGTTAGTAGAACATCTGACTTATTTGAATTATTGGTCAGTTTGGTGGTCATGTTTACAGCGTTTGGGTCATCGGTGTAAACAGATTTTGAAATGGAAAATTGTAAAAAAAATACACACATTTATATTGGTACAGAAGCGATTAAGTGGATTTAACACTTTTTTATTAAGATTAAATATCCATATTCCATATTCTTAAAAACTGTCCTGTGGTGAGACCATGATTTACCTTCAAATACATGCCTTAAAATAAATTTTGGCAAAGTATTATTAGTACCACCGCGACCCAGAAGGATAAGCGGTTTAGATGATGTGTGTGTGTATTATTAGTACAGTAATGCAGAAAAACATGCTTGCATTACTTTTGAATTGCTGTAAGTCATGTAAGTCAAATTTGGCCAAATTGTATTATGTTTTGTTTTTGTTTTGTAAGTAAAAATAAGTACGTATCATCTAATAATAACACACTTCTGCGATGAACCTTTGAACGTTTGAGACAAAACAAAGCTAGTAATAATATATGAATTATGTCATTTTTTTTAAACATTTAGCAAATGAACAGTGATTGTCTTCGGTGTATACAGATTTTGAAAAGGCATTTTTTTTTAAATATAACAAACCAGCCTATATATGGCAAGAATTCAAACATTTGGGATGTCATTCACACATATTCATATCAGAACTTAAGCTATTAAGTGATTTTAACACATTTTCATCAAAATTACTTGTCCGTATTCCATACTGTTAAAAAATGTCATGTGGTGCGACCAAGATTTACCTTTAACAGTGTATCACTTAGCATTTTGGCAGAGTATTAGTAGTACAGTAATGTGTAGAAAACCATGCCTGCAGTACTTTTGAAATTCTGTAAGTCGTGAAATCATATATTAAATCGTGTGCAAAAGTTTGGGCGCCCCAGCCAAATTACATTACGTTTTGCTGATTAAAGTGGAAATAAGTACAGAGAACACACTTCTGCACATTATAGTACACAATTACTGTTAATTTGCTGAATTTAACTTTTTGAGGGGAAAAAAAATGTGGCCTGTGCAAAAGTTATGGCACACTTTAGATTTTATGTTTTATTTTTAAATATGTTTAATTTTGCAAATGAACAGTGATTGTGTGTTGAATTGTGTGTTGTCTGTAGAAGATGTGTTCACTTATTTTCACTTAGAACATCAACGAAACGTAATTGAATTTGACCAGGGGCGCCCAAACTTTTGCTCACGACTGTGTGCCTCCTTGTTCATATAGCTTACAAGCGTGTTTTACCTCTAAAACCAGTAAGACTGATTAAAAATGTACAGGCGTGGTAGCCATTTGAGGCACACTCCATTATTATCATTGGTTACTCCGCAAGATGATCGGTCACCCCAGATGATTTTAAAAACAGTCAGTATGGCTCTATTGTTTTGTAGAATGTTTGTAGAAAACATCTGCTGACCAAATCAGACGAGGCTGGGAAAAAGATGCGTATTTTGCTTTGCTGGGTTTGTTCATATTGTCTTATGCTTCTTGTTTGCTTACAAGAAGGGAGGTATGTGTTTGCCTCCGCCTGCCACTGCAGTTTTGCGCTGGATTTTGCGGGTGCAATTATGGGCGCATGTGTTTAGTCTGAATGCGCCTTCTCCACAGGAACGTGTGCGTCTAATTGCATGTTGCGAGAGCGCGCTCACAGCCTCACCAGAGCACATCTGAATCAGAATCCTTTGTATGGGTTTTGTATGTTATAGATGTATAAGGAGTTTCCTTTGGTAGGGACTCAACATCAGATCCAGTATGGCGTGTGAGTTGTGGTGGATACTGTATACAAAGTCCATGTTTGATTGTTTAAAACTAAAACAGCATGGAAGATTAGGGTTACGGTTAGAAAAGTCACATTACATGTAGACACACACACACAGTTTGAATAGTTTAATAGTAATAAAAATGTTATTATATATATATATATATATATATATATATATATATATATATATATATATATATATATATATATACACAAAGGTTTTTTATATATATACAAAACCTTGTCTCCAAAATGGTAACTTTAAATGGAAGTTAATGCAGGAATTATTTCCACTGGTCTAAAAGACAGTTTGCATTTTTAAATGATGTCCAAAAATAAAAATAGAGACCCAACAGCAACATTTTATATGTAATACATATGGTACACATTATTATTATTACATGCAAATCCTTACATATATATGTGTGCATCATGCATATTGTTATAACATGTACGTACATATCGCTGATGTCGGACAAAAAAATCTCGTATCTCCAAATTGGTAAATTTACAGGAGAAGGAAAAAACATACTCTACTTTTAATGTAAGTCAATGGAACCAGACTTTTTTCCAAGTCATTTTGGGCCGTTTCTTTTGGTCCATTCATCATGAAATTTGCACACAATGTAAAGGGTAACAGGCATTTTCAAAATTATTCAAAAACTGAAAAACAATGTATGTATTAGTAGTTCACTGGTATTTTTGCATATATGTATATATTAACCTTTCCACTTAACTTAGGGGGGGGACTTAGCTGAGCTGTGCTAATTCCTAGCGTGCTAACTAGCTGTCTAGCTAGCGTAGCTGTTGACTGGGATAACAAAATGAGTAAACAAAGATAAGTTCAGTACTGATTTTTCAAAGAAGCAACGAAAGCGAGGGTGAAGACTTGAATGTGCTGTTAACTTGTATAGCAGGCAGTTAAATGTGTAGATAAACACTTTTAACCCGTATTAAATGTGGTGTTTCTGTCTGGCTATGCTAATGGAGGGAGGTCATTGTCTAATGACTTAGCTGTAATGAAGGAGCATCAGTATATGTCCTCCTCACTATAGTGATGTCTCTGGGACACAATGCTAGCTAACCCCCCCACCTGACTTGTCACCAGGCCCCCTGAAATGAAATTCAGTCTTCAGTACTGGTGTGCGTGTGAGATCCCTGCGTGCTCGGTGGCTCGGCGGCCGGCTGCGCTGCCCGAGGCGCTCTGTGTGCTTGTTGTGGTTGCGGAAAGCGAGCGCCTTCACTCAGGCTGAAGGGTCCGCTCACATGCACACAAATGTGAGATGGCTCGCAGCGAAATGGGCCATGTTGGGTAAAAAGCTCCATTTCCATCTCTTCATCTTTCTCTTGCTCTCTCTAGTAGGAATGGGGCAGTATGAGAATCGCACTGATATCATTGTTGATATCACTGTTTTTGCTATTGGTTTCTCCAAAATGGTAACTTTACAGGAGAAGGAAAAAACATACTTTACTTTTAATGTAAGTCAATGGAACCAGACATTTTTCCAAGTCATTTTAAGCTGTTTCTTTTAGCCCATTCATCATGAAATGTAAAGGATAACAGGTATTTTCAAATTATGTAAAAAAATGAAAAACATAAAAAATGATGCAAGGTTTTCTTCCAATAGCAGCTATATATATAGATAGATAGATAGATAGATAGATAGATAGATAGATATTGCACTTATAGAAGAATTGCAGAGTATTTTTGTCATATTTTGAAGCCCTATTGTGGTTAAAATGTACTGAAAATAATATATAACAGCTAACAAGTTAGCCAGTGGGCAACCCTCAGAGAAGGCCTGATGATTTCTTAGCCCATTTTCACTGAAAAGGATCATAATTTAAACCCTGTACACTTTGCAGTAGTACTCTTATTTCATTGTTAGGTTTTGGTTTAAACAAATGGGTTATATTCTTGACCGCCCATTGAAAACTATCCAGTCAGTCCAGTTTCTCTGTGGTAAATACAGGCAAGTTAGCTCTCCCATTGGTTCGGCCTTCAGGAGCTGCACTGAAGGCCTGACATGTTGGATTAACCACCCATGGTTCATGGTGATCAAACTGAGTTACTGGAACTACTAACATTTGCTATGATTATTGCTAGATTTTACGCTAAAACCGCTAACTGTCCCATCGCCAGCCTCTCGCTTAGCGTCTCCATCACTTTCAGTCCCTCTCCTCTTTCGCTCTCACATTATATCTCTCTCCACGTCTCCCTCTCTCTGGTGGGCAAGTTCATTTGCTGTTAAATCCCAGCCGTGAACGACAGATTACTCCCAGTGGAATTTCCGCGGCTCCGCTAGCTGAAGACACAGCATGAATGCGCCGACACAATAGCGTGGAAAAATGCGCGCTAAGCCGCTCCGCTTGGCCTGAGCCTTGACAAGCGAAACCTGAAAAAAGAAAAAAAACTCTTGATATTCATTAGGAGGAGGAGGTTACGCTGGTTCAGAAGGTCTGTTTGGTCAATCAAACCAGACTTTTAACTCATGGTGACTGTGTGGAAGTGTTTAGCGTGGCTGTGTCTGTCTCCCGCTATGCTTTAATGACTTTTATTAGGTTTTACAAGCACACAATCCAACAAACATTGGCTATTAAGGAGCTTTTGGCTGCCTTGCCCCTGCGGTGCAAAACACCCAACCCCCCCTCAACAAACCCAATCGAGTGTTAGTTTGCCTGCTGAGTAAGACAGATTTCCTTCCTTATGAATCAGCTGGCTCATTTCATGTAGTGGACTCCAGAGAAAGCTTTAGCTCTCACTAAAGAGCGCAATATAAAGTCTAGCGAGGTCGACCCGCTCGCAAACCTGGACATAAGGCCAGGAGTTTCAGCTTTTACTGGGATCAGCTAGAGTTGAACTCAATTATTGGTGAGATTGGGGTCTAACAGAGCTGCTCAGGTCAAATCTGAACTCCATTATTGACGGGGATTGGAGTTGAATCTGACGTTCGATAGGACTCTGCAAGGGCAGAACAGACTGCTCAAAAGGGATTAGCTTATTGATGTAGCGTCCATTAGCATCATATTCCATTTAAGGGTCTTGAAGGAAGGGTTCGCCAGTGAGATTTTTCACCAGAGTGGGTGAAATGTCTGGCTTTGGGATTAAATATATAAATAAATACATGCAGATGGAACCCAGTTGTAATATATTGAAGCCCAAATCTTGGCTTCGTTAATTATAAGTCAAGCAAAGCTGCTTTAGAGGCACAGGCCAATAATAAGCTTGGAGTCAGAACGTTGATCTTGGTGTAACGTCAAAAAACTTGTAGGAGAACTTTTCTTTGAAAGACAGATGATGATCCGTAAGATTGCTAAATTCCAGCAGATGCTAAGTTCAAGGTCTGGCTAACCCAAGACGTCCACCCTCATTGTAGCTCCCCACTTCCTTGCGGTTACCGTAAGCCCTAAGGGCCCATAGATGAACCCACACTGTAGTTTTTCACTCATAAGTTATATGTTTTATAGTAGTTGTTTGGATAATATACTGAAATTACAGAGTAATAAGTCTCTGTTTCTTTTTTTATTCATATTCAATCTTTATAATCATATTTTTAGATTAAAAACAAAAGTTTATGGTTCAAAGTGTTTTAAAACTGAACTAAAATGAGCTTTTCTTTCCAACAGCAACGTCAAACAGCACCTTAGAAGGCTTGGACAACCTTGAGGGAGGTGTATGCAAGACCAAATCCATGAAGCTGGTGCTCCGAGTTGGACAGAGTGAGTTATCATGCTACCTTTTGCACTAAACTCACATTTTGGTCACTTTATTTTGATCCCTTAAATCTGCAAATTGCACAAAGTGATAGATTGGGCAAAAAATGAAATGTACACCTTTTCCCTTACCTCAAATGAGGTCAGTCAGCCAAGATATGTTTGCTTTTTTAGTGTTGTACTGGAGGTACGAGGCAAATGTAGCTAGATAACAAGCTAATGGACACTTGAATTAGCTCTTGAATTAGCATGGCTAATCTCAAATAGACTTCCTTAAGTAGTTTCGGACACTGCATGACTCAGTTTTATCTGTAAAAATGTAGATAACGCTAATAGTACAAAAGCATGTAGCAAGGCTAAAAGCATTAGCATAGCGTCAGTAGTAGCAGCTGCCTTGAAACCTGAGGTAATTTCTTTCTGCACATGTGTCAGTTTTATAGATACAGTCTCAGAAACCACATGAGCAAATGTGTGCGATTTCTGAACAACTCAACACGGTTTAGGTTGGGGTTAGCGGTACCATAGGTGTTAAGCCTAGGCTGAGGTAAATGTTAGCTTGAACTGAAGGGGAATTCCACCATTTTTTCAAAATCTTTGCATAATTCTGTCATAGCGAGGTAAATAAAGTCATTCAGAGTGGTTCGGCGTGGTTCATTGTAGAGGCTCAGATGTCTTTACAGTGGTGGTGATAGGAACCAGGGGTCGCCATGACTACAACACAAATATAGACATTTTATTCACTATCAAAACCACCAGTGAACCTACACGAGTCTTCTGAGTTTATATGGAATGTTGATGATAAGAAAATAGTGGAAAATCTGAAATAATAAGTTTACTTTGGGGACTATTTTGCCTCACAGTGCTCTTCATGTATCCCTCCACCATGAATGGATTAAAAAAATGGATTAAAAAGTCATTTTAGGCCAAAACTTTATCACAAAACTACTGTCAAACAGTGTCTCAGGCGTCAGCCAGTGTATTCATTACCATTCTGTGAGGGAGCTTTTAGAGGTGGACGTCTGGTTCCTATCATCACCACTGTGAACAATTCGGACTCCAAAATGGAGCATTTCAAACCAAACCACTCTGAATTTACATCTCTACCACTTAATTATGCAGAACTTCAGAAAAATTGGCAGAGTTAACATTTAGGTAGATATTTAGTTGAATGCGCTTTATCAAAATAAAAGACCTAGAAATTTGATTTTACAGTATTACTTTCTCAAAAGAGGACACTAAAGCTACGCTCACACTGCAGTCCAGTCCAGAGTGAAGCTCCCACATAGCCCAGTTATAAACCGGTACATCTGTGCACTATTGGACCACTTCTGACCGTTTGTTCTGTACTTTGGGACTCTTTCCGCCACCGCGTCTCCTTCTGTGCGTGGAGCACACGCGTGTTAGCCGCGTCTCAGCGTGTAATTGAAATGTCATGTGCAGTCGCCTCCTACGGCTGTGCCAGCTGTCCCCTTCTTCCTCTGCCGCGGAGAGACTGCCTACTTTAAGCCAATTCATTAATTTCTCTCGCTAATCCTGGAGCAGAATAAACGCAAGGCAGGAAGCTCCAAGAGGTGGTCCCACTTTAGCGCGAGTGCTTCCAAGAACGGCCCGTATACAGAATACAAATGTAATTCCATATGTCCATTAGTTGTAGCTGTTCGTCATGTTCCTTATTGACAAATTAAAGATCTGACAGCTCAAGTATAGATTATTTTAAAACATATTAAAAATTAAATAAAAATATACTTGAGATGGACCATGTTTGGTTGACTAATGCCTTGATTTGAAAATGGACGCTACTTGTCTATAAATCATTATACCTATGTTTTGTTTGTATTGCAGATCCTACTGACCCAGTCTCCACGAAAGACCATTCACCAAAATACTCGGACCCCGACAACCAAAGCACCTTCAACAAGGAGAACGACGTCTTTGGCAAAGCCGGTATGTGTAACTGGGATCGCTTTGGGGTGCATGTGTTTGGGTTTGTTTCGCTTCTTAAATTTGCACATTTAACAAATGTAACGTTATTGTTAAGTACATTTTTTGCTATTCATATTGTGATTATTGATAATATGACAGTCATTTTGAGCCTTGAACTGCAAAAACATCTCTTTAATAAAATTAGACAAATACCTGTTTGTTTAAGGGGATAATCTGACAAGCAAATTCCCCAATTGTAGTCCAATATAGCTGGTCAAATTTGTTCATTTATTTTGGCTAATAAAAAGGCTATTGTTGCTAACAATTGATGGAAGCTGATGTACACCAAATTAGCTCTGTGAGTGCCTGAGTCATTTTATTCTAAACATTTTGAGATGTTTACTAACCTTGAATTGACTTGCTTTCTGACACTGTGTCTATACAAATGGACAAAAATATGTTAAAAAAGAGTAACAGTAGCCATTTTGAACCCTGAATTTTGCCCATTTTATAGAGAACAGTATGTCATACATGGCCGAAACGCAGCTTTCCAGGCTCCCAGCCTGTTGTTTTTAGCTATGTGATGCACTTTAGTCCTTTTATATTTATAAAAATGGTATATATTGGATTTATTTACTAATTCATTCCTTCTCTTTGCTTTCATTCTTTCCCAGACTCCACCCCAGATGCCGATACAGACGGAAAGAGTGGCGAGTCCGTGGGCCCGTCAGGGCTCGGAGATGGCCCTGTTTGCCGGCGTGGCCTCAGGAGCTGTGGTGCTCATTCTTCTATTCGTGGTGGTTCTGGTGCTGTTGGTGCGGCGGCGGCACCGCAAACACTCGGCCCAGTGCTCTGGCCCCCTCCCACTGCACACGCTGCCCAAACGCGGCAGCACCGGCGCTAACAACAACGGCTCGGAGCCCAGCGACATCATCTTCCCCCTGCGTGCCTCCGATAGCATGTACTGCCCGCACTACGAGAAGGTCAGCGGGGACTATGGGCATCCCGTCTACATCGTCCAGGAGATGCCCCCGCAAAGCCCGGCGAACATCTACTACAAAGTTTGACACAGCCACTTGTAGGATGGACGATTTGATTAGCCTCCTGAAAACATGGACATCGTGTTTGTTGATGCCGTTGGAGGAGTTCTACCAGGCAGGACGGAACAGGGACCAAAGCCTTGAGCCTGTTTCTTGATTGAAAGGAAAGTCTGTGATTGGTCTGGTGAAGGTCTTTGATAGGTCTGGTAAAAGTCGTTGTTTGGTCCAGACAAAGTCTTTGTTTGGTCTGGAGAAAATGTTTGTTTGGTCTGGAGAAAGTCTTTGATCTGGAGAAAGTCTTTTGATTGCAGCCTGGTTCTACACGGGGAAATGTGTTCAAACAAGAATGACTGAGATAAAGAACTCTTGGAACCAACCAAGGATTTGAAGGCACATGTGATTTCTCCAATCCAGGGCAGACTGAGGTTCTAGCAGCTTTGCACTCAGGGGACAACAATTAAGCCACTTCAGAAGGACCTAAACTTTACAAATTTACTTGCTGAGAACGTTCATCAGGGCAAAGATTGTAACACCGCCACATCGGGTCATGTCTTGAAGGACTTTAACCAGATTTTCCAGGGTAACTAGACCTTTTAGATCTAGTTCTCTAAGTGTCACATCGTATTTGGCAAGCTTCTTTGATAAATGTTTGCATCTCAAGCCAGTTTGGTTGAACGTGTCTTTTCTCTAAGCTCCTGCTTGAAGGAGCTGGATGAATCATCAGAATAGTCTGGCTATAAAAGGCTGTTTCTGCATCTCCGAGCTGGTCTGATGAATGCATAACACATATCAAACTCCTGCTGTTTCTCCTCCATATGCCGTTTCTGCGTCAGGGTGCGAGATTTTGCAGCTTCTTCAGGCCACATGTGGTTCTCTCGTTCGCTTTGGCGGCTTGTCAAACACCTCGTCAAGGAAGGAAAGCCAAACAGGACATTGTGCACAAACCCCTCTTTGTTTACTCGTGTAAATACTACCTAAATCTTTGTTGTTGTTGTTTTTTTTTTTTAAATTAAGTCTTAAGTTATGTTTTGTATGAATCTGAATACGGAGGAGAAGAGGACAGGGCCGGTTCTCGAGTGTTAATACCGTAGATTTGTATTGCTCACGTACGCAGTGGCGGTTCAGCGGGTCTCAATCTGATCTGTCCAAGTGTTGATTTGTTGATTGTACACCAAGCGAATGTTCCGTTCCAGCTGGCCGCAATTGAATGGATTATGATTGTTCGACTGAATGAGCTCATAACTGTAGCTCGGGCTGTTTCTCAAAGTTTGTTTTTGTAACATTTGAATAAAGCTGGTGGCACGGTGGGTTAAAAAAAATCAAAAGTTGGCTTGTATTTCAGTAATTCCTATCTTACAATCTTTCAAATCTACATGAAATTTGATGTTTTGGAAATTTAGCTTGACAGACTGTCCCATTAGATGCCTCACAATTTACTTTATTAGCCGGTTTTGAATGAGGAATGAGTGTTTCAACCATACTTACTGAAATTTCAGCAATTTTAAATGAAATTTTAATCAAATAGTATTCCAATATCCCAATACTTGCTTAAGTTATGTATCTAAAACAACTTTATTTGAAGGCTACCTACATAGAGGCATCATAACACATACATACACATGGAATAACATTAAAAAAGGAGTACTTGAGTATTTATGAGCAGCTTGTCAGTATTTGCAGGTTAACATCAGATGTTTTAGGATGTAAATGACATCATATTGGTGCATAAACTAAAGTGGTATTTGTTTAATTTATGTTATGACGCATGATTCCCTAGCAAATAACGCCATGTTTCTTCATCATATATGATCATCTTCATGCATATCGCTGCTGTCAGACCAAAACCTCGTCGCTTTTCAGTTTTTGACATAATTTGAAAATGCCTGTTACCCTTTACAGTGTGTGTAAATTTCATGATGAGTGGACCAAAAGAAACGGCCCAAAGTGACTTGGAAAAAATTCTGGTTCCATTGACTTACATTAAAAGTAAAGTTCACCTGTAAAGTTATGATTTTAGAGATACGAGGTTTTGATCCGGCAGCAGCGATATGTACATTTTCCTGCTTTGTTCAAGTTTGGGGGCTTTTTCTTAGAACTGATACAGATCATGGCCATCTTAACTTTTCAGAATAGGACTTTAGTTGAAGAGCTCTTACATCATCTACTTCATAAACATCAAATGTCCTGTTCTGAATCCTGTTAAACTGTTCATGACCACTCAAGTATTGCTCTATATACACTATTAAAAATGAAAGTCAACCTAAAATGAATATGGAACTGATCACATTGCTTTTCCTGAGTTGACTCAACTTGAGGACACCAGAGTTCACCCAACTCAAACCTCTGACTCTAGTCAAAAGCTCTCCTAACACTCTGCAGTTATGTCAGTGAAATATAATTTGTTTTTAACTGACTAGCTGGGATTGTTTCCATCACACAGTCCCATTAGGCATTTTCCCCTCATGGGTACCTACTTACGGATGGCTGTAGCATCATTGGGGTTCAAGCTCACAATCTCCTGATGGGCGTGAAGCCCAAAGAAACCTTATTATTTCAGATTTTTCACTATTTTCCCATCATCAACATTCCATATAAAACACGTGTAGGTTCACTGGTGGTTTTGGATGGTAAATAAAATGTCTATATTTGTGCTGTAGTCATGGTAACCCCTTGTTCCTATCACCACCACTGTAAAGAAATCTGAACCATTTCACACCAAACCACTCTGAATCACATCTCACACACTGAATTATGCAAGAATTTAGAAAAAAATCATTTGGATATATGTATATATTTAATTAACCATACCCATCCCTCTTTAAAGAGCCAGCAGATCAGTTAGTAGTGATTCTAGTGCATGAGCGTGAAGGTTTCTGGTTTGGTTGGGCACCGTGGACTGCTGGCTTGCTCCCATCTGGCTGCAGGTTCTCGCGCTTCTGCTCCTCTTCCTTGCCCTTCTGCCCTTCAGAAAGGCACTTCGCTCTGCTTTGCTTTGTGGCTTTATCTGAAACCAGTAGGCTTTTCCTGTCAAACCACAACAGCCTTCAGGAAAGAGCTGCTCAGTTAAAGATCACATTTACACAGTTACCACCAAAGTAGCTGATCTACAGAGACAATCTTATACACCGTGATTGTTCTGGAGCTCATGTTCGAATCAGAGATGAGTTAATAAGTTCATACGTTAACACAACCTCTACACAGAGCACACTTACAAATGGCATTATTTCAACAAAAGTTACATGCACAGTTTCTAACATATTGGAAAAAATGAAAATATAAAAAATAAAATGTGCAACACCTTTTGCACCGGCCGCATTTTGTGTTTCATTTTCTCCCCAACATGTTAAATTAATCAAATGAACAGTAATTGTGCATTAAAATGTGCAGAAGTCTGGTCTTGGTAGAGGACTGGGGTGCCAAAACTTTTGTATAAGGCTGTATAAAACCAGATAAATAACTTTACATATCAAATTCAGGCTTTAAGATGGCCGCTGCTGTTTTTAGCTATGCTACATACTTTTATCCACGTTTAACGGACGTCTATAGTACGTAAAGTTGAAAAACTAGCATAACACTTAACGCTAGCCTAAGACTAGCCTAGCATTAAGTGTTCCTTGTCCTGTTATGTACTATTCTGTAGCGCAGTAACGCATCCCTCAGCCTCATCGCTTTGACAGAATTCATGATTTTGTATCCATCAATGTTCTGTGACTACAATACCCAGCATGCATTGTACAAATACATGATGCAACTATTGGCGATCCGCTCCACTGTGATAGAAAATGCTAACTGCTAGCGTAGGCGCTGGTGTAGAGGCTCAAACATACAGACGTGATATTCAGCCCAAGTATTCGACACAAAGCACTTGTAGTTTTTCAAAAATACAGACTGCCTTTGATATACATCATCAAAAAGGGGGGTTTTCTAGTCTTAGTGTAGAGGCTGTGGTGGCACCAGGTGAGTTAGCATGTTCACAACAGATAAAACAATGGTTACGTTTTTCATTTTTGGCCAGAGGTTCCCTTTAACAAACCAGTTTGAGGCGAATGTGTGATGACTAAGACTTGCAGTTTGATCAATGCTAACTGGAGGGCATCTCTTACTACTGGTTGGCTACATTAGCCTCTCAGCTCCAGTGCAGAACTAAAGAAGCAAACGTCAGACTTGGCTATGATTTGAGTAAATTGTTGCCATACTACTCCATTAACCGGCATACAGTCGATCAGTAAAGGCTAATAGTTTGAGCTCGGCCTCAGCAGCACCATTTGGTCTGGCGGTTCAGCGCCGCATTTGGTGAAGGTGACTGCGAGACGTGTGATGGGGAATTTCAGTCTTGACCTACAAACACCTTCGTCTGCAGTGGGTGAGAGCAAGAAAGCAAGGTGTCACGAACAAAGCCCTCACACCTCTTGACCCCGAACACGCTCCGCTGTCACTCACGCAGATAGAACACACACTCTGTCCTGTTGTCACGCGGAGATACAGCGTCTCTGGCACGTTGTTCATGAGCCTTTATATCGGGGCCCCACTTTTATTTGCCTGGCCCCATCATGTGGAGAGATTACTAATGAATCTAGTGAAAGTCAGTTGATACACTCGCATTGATGTTCTGGTTTGGTTTATGAATGGAGCCAAAGTTGAGTTTCAAACTGTGATTAGGTTTTGGGACGAGTTTAAAGTTACGGTTAGGGTTTAGGAACGGTTAATGTGATGTCACTAGCCACTTTATTAGAAACACCCACCTTGTGCTTCCACTCCCTGGCCACTTTATTAGAAACACCCACCTTGTGCTTCCACTCCCTGGCCACTTTATTAGAAACACCCACCTTGTGCTTCCACTCCCTGGCCACTTTATTAGAAACGTCCACCTTGTACTTCCACTCACTGGACACTTTATTAGAAACACCCACCTTGTACTTCCACTCCCTGGCCACTTTATTAGAAACACCCACCTTGTACTTCCACTCCCTGGCCACTTTATTAGAAACACCCACCTTGTACTTCCACTCCCTGGCCACTTTATTAGAAACGTCCACCTTGTACTTCCACTCCCTGGCCACTTTATTAGAAACACCTACTTTGTACTTCCACTCGCTGGCCACTTTATTAGTAACACCCACCTTGTACTTCCACTCACTGGACACTTTATTAGAAACACCTACCTTGTACGTCTACTTATTGTCCACTTTATTAGAAACACCTACTTTGTACTTCCACTCACTGGACACTTTATTAGAAACACCCACCTTATATGTCCACTCACTGGCCACTTTATTAGAAACTCACACCTTGTACTTCCACTCCCTGGCCACTTTATTAGAAACTCACACCTTGTACTTCCACTCCCTGGCCACTTTATTAGAAACAGCCACCTTGTGCTTACACTCACTGGCCACTTTATTAGAAACAGCTAGCTCCACCATATATGTGTACAGTTACAGACTGTAGTCAATGCGTTGCAAAATGTATTGGCCTACCTCTACCCCATTCATCATTGGCCAATTTCTGACCAGATGTTCACCAGATGCTGATCATTCTCATGATCCAGCCAAGCAAAGAGTGGCTCTGTGGTCAGAAACTGACCACTGATGAAGAGCTAAAGGATGCCAGAGAAAAACTCTACATGAACAAATGATCCTCAGACTCTGACTGAACACCGGCAAGGTGGAGGGGTTTCTAATAAAGCAGCCAGTTGATTGTCAGTGGAATGTACTGGTAAACCTCTGTATGAGCCCCACAAAGCCGGCTGTTTCCCATTGTCCACAGCCCTGCTTCTTTTGCGAACACCGTTCCTTCGCCAGTGCTGAGTGTGGGCAGCATTGGACAGGAAAGGCCGTGTTTATGTTACGGAGGGCAGAACAATGGAGTGGTAAATGTTCAGCCCCAGCCAGCTGCCTGTCCCCAGCAGCCAAGAGAAACATTTCTGTCACTACAGAGCCCACGGTCACTGCGCAAAGAGCCACGTCCTGTCCGCTGTTTACTTTAACCCCCACACTCGAGCCTCATTATTCAGTGATTCATCTTAAGACTTATTACTCAGTATCTACTGTGAATTATGTGGTTATGGGAGCGAAGTGTGGACCCACATACGGACACTTAAGGGTAAACTCCCGCTAGTTTTGTCCAATAAAGAGTCAGATTCTAAACTGGAATTTTGTTGGAATGGGGTGAAGCGCGGCGATGTTGATTCTGGATGGTGCGGAGGAACAGCCCTGTCCACAGTGGAATAGTCAGTGTTGCATTAACTCCCGCTGAGCCGCACTGAGTCACGTTACATTCCGCACAAGCTCTTTTCACACCAGTTTTCATGGTATTGTC